TAAAATAATTCTGGGGATTGTTTTTCAAAGGCTCTATCAGTATTAATTTCTTTGTCCTTTTTTTTTTTTTTTTTTTAACTCTTTCCTTTCTTTTCTTCCAAATAAGAATTCCTAGAAGAAAGCAGCCAATGTGAGGATGATACAGTGACATTAACTCTGCCTTCTGAGTGTTCTGTTTCCACACAAGCACAAGACACACCCAACAATGAACAAGCCCCAGATACACCTAGTGATGAACAAAACTTAAGTTGCTCACCCTCCAGTGAGATGCAATGTGATACTAAGGAACTGATTCAAGAGAATGGTGGTCTTAATGAGGCACATAAGGAACGAGCAAGATCACGGGGAATGTCTCTCCTGATGGAGGCACGGATGCAAGTAACAGATGAACCCAAAACTGGACGGCTTTTTGCTTTTTTGCAGATATTGACTGCTTCATTTGGAGCCTTTGCACATGGTGGAAATGATGTGAGGTACCTGATTTTTTTTTTTAACTTTTACCTGATAGGCAGGTACTCATGGATAATCAGTCACAGATTTTCTATGGGACCTGAGGGAGCATTCTGTTATTATAAAAAGATGCTGGGTTAAACATGAGAGTTTACAGCTGATGAACTTCAGCAGTTACTTTAGAAGACTTCAATTTAATTAGGGGTGATCTGGATTGTGTGTGAATTGTGATACTCAGTCCTTTTTTTTTAATGTCTTCTTCTTTTTAAGTCTTGGCAAGGTCCATCTCCTTTGAAAGCTATAAAAACAAGTACCGTATTTACTTGTGTATAAGTCAATCTCTTAGGACCAAAAACTCAGCCCAAAAAATCACCCTCGACTTATACACAAGTCATACACAAAGACCTGACCCAAGCAATCCAAGAAATTAGCATAACAATTGCGTGAAGTCTTTTTGGAAAACCGAGTCTATAAAACCAGTTTGAATTGCGTTTGAGTTTCATCACTTTTCAGCTCATTCTTTGTCCACAAAAAGTTTGAAATAATAAATTTTGAGTGGCTTAACACAAAGCTACTGGAGCTGATTTATATTGTGTCTTTGGACTATAGAACAGATATTTTTTCTTACAGGTTTGCTGTTGTTTACAGTGCTGAAATTTCGATTTCATAGAATGATCACAGTAGCTTAGTAACTTGGCAAATGCCGTTGTCTTGCACAGTCTTGCTTGTTACGCACGATCCTTCAAAGCTATTTGGTGTTCCTTCGGTTTACTTAATCTCCTTTCAAACTTAATATTAAGATAAAGGTTTGTTAATGCAAGAAAATTTCATTTTCAATGTGATTTACAAAATATAGTAAAATACTTCTCCAATAAATTGAAGTGCTTGTGTGTTCTTAAATCGTGGTGATATAAACAAGTGCTGATAAACCTCAAAGCACTTGGTTACATTTTGCTCTGCAGTTTTTTAATTCCCTGTGTTTTCAATACATTCCCAGAAATAAGAGATTAACTTCTGCGAAATTTCTATCTGTCTAAATTTTACCTTTTTGACTAGAAATGGTGAAAAACCTAATTTTTTAACTTAAAAAAAGGGGGTCAACTTATACATGAGTTCGACTTATACACAAGTAAATACCGTAACTCAATTAAGACAGGCTCACATTTCATCAATGTCTCTTCAAGACAACTGATTGTGTATATGTCTGGCAACTTATTGTTGCTGTTTTATCTTGAATTGCAGCAATGCTATTGGTCCATTGATCTCATTGTGGGTTATTTACTGGTCAGGCATGATTCAAGAGAAAGTTCAGATTCCAATCTGGATTCTTGTTTTTGGAGGTGTTGGAATATGCATTGGGCTCTTTGTTTGGGGACGACGTGTTATCAAGACAGTTGGAGAGGATCTAACTCCAATAACACCATCAAGGTATGCAGGAAGACAAGGTACTCCGTTACACGTGCAACTTAAGAATAGACAGAGACAATCAGCCATTTAGTTTTATATGAGCAAGACTTTTGAAACTTTCTAGAATCAACATTTTGTTGTCCTTCAATTTGGTGTCAGGGTAAAAAAAAATTACTTATTTTGTCTGAGGAAAGGTAAGAAAATTCTGAAAGCACGCCAAACTGTCCATGCAAATTTTACAGAGTGGTCCCCCTAGGGAGTGGTGCTTGAATGAAGAAGGAGGAAACTCAGACATGATGACAGCTTCCAACTTTCACAGTACCTAGTCAGTACTGAGCAGCTGTCAGTTGTATCATGGGAGGATTGCTAAGTTTATCTAGTAAAGTTTTAAGGATACAGTAGACCCTCGCAGGTGTTCTTTGCAAAAAATAAACCATGAACTATATATCCATGGTAAGATTCTGACATTCACTACTTGGCAAAAATTCTTTTCACTTAAGCTTGATCTAATTGTAAACCAAATGGTACGCAAAAATTCAGAATACACAATTTTTCTTTGAGTGATTAATGACATATTAAATCTGACTGCACAAACAAAACTTCTGCACAATTTCAATCCTGAGGAGCTAATGGTCCTCAAAACTGTGTGGAGATTTATTGATATTGTTATTGGTTACTTTGTAATTTATCTGTCAAGTTTGCTGATCAAAATTTTACAGATACATATTACATCAGAAGCCACTAGGGGAGATCCATTTTGAAAAATGGAATTCCCTCTCATGGTTTGTTTGGTTGGTGTCATGGGAGTATCTAGATAAAATTTCAAGGCAATCTGTATAGTTTACATACCCTATTAATTTGTTCAAAGAAGGCACTTCCACATAAAAACAAAGCAAGTTTCTTAGGTTTCTTAAGTTTTCCCAACAATTCAGGTCTTTGGGTGACCACGTGTCAAGTTATGTCAACACTCTGAAAAACTTGAAATGCTTATAGCTGATCGAAACACAGAAGTGTCCTGCAGAGTCTCAGGAGACTCAGCAAAAAACATATTTTGCACTAGGTAACTGTCCATCAGTTACAAATGTCCCCACGACAGACCTGCCAAACAGCAATTTTGATGTCAACTTTTTTTTTCAACCTAAAGCCAGCCTAAGCATGCCACGGCAAAACTTAATGGTTGCTAATCAAGTGCAAGCAGTGAAGATTGCTTAAACCAGGGGCCTTTATTTGATTTGGTGAGATTCTTTCACCACTATGTGAGGAGTTTCTTTACTTCTTGTGCTGAGTCATTCAGGCTTCTTATTTTACTTTCATCTATGGACTCTTCCCCTTTTTATCTTTTTCTATTCACATTCTAGTTTTAAATGCAGGCAGATAGCAAAGATCTGTATGTGAAATCGAAATCAGGAGACGTTTACATGATTGAAATTCAAGTACCAGGATGTTTTGCCACAACAAACCCTTTAGAGTCATTAATGTTTACATGTTGTATTTGGCTATTCACACTGGCAGGTGAAAGAATTCCATTCAAAAATTTTTTAGTAAATAACTCACACATGTGTCAAGATTTTACCTAATTTTTTGTTGGAAACTATGGTTAAAATGATAATGCTTAGTTTGACATGAAAAAGAAAAAAAAGGAAAAAAGTCAGCCCTCAAGGGTCTGCTGTATCCTTAAGTTCTTTCCCCTGCTTTTATCCATGTGCATTATTTTTGACACTCATACATACTGTACTGAATGAGAGTGATCAAGTTGTTAACTCAGATTTGTGGTTTTTTTTTTAGTTGTTCATTCAATGTGTGATCTTATAATAGCAGTATTTTATATTATTTGTAATTTCCAGTGGTTTTGTGATTGAAATTGGCTCAGCGCTAACTGTTCTGTGTGCATCTAATCTTGGCATTCCAATCAGTACCACACATTGTAAAGTGGGCTCTGTTGTTATGGTTGGCAGAGTGCGGTCCAAGGAAGTTGTTGATTGGTCATTATTCAGGAATGTTATACTGGCCTGGGTTATTACTATGCCTTTTGCAGGTTAGTTAAAGGGTTGTTTTTACAGTATGACTACTTGAATTGAGACACTTTGAGGAAAGTTATCCATTTACAGGTAAAGTTAAGACTCTGAAAATTGCCCTCACTTTATTCAAATTGTCATACTTTGTGTTTGCTCTCATAGAAAAGTTGTATTTTGCATACTTTGTGGAATTTTAAGCTGAGATGAAACAGATGTTGTGGGTGGTTCACTTTGTTTGAATTGAAAATCTTTTTGTTTTTGTTTTTTTTCTTTTAGGTTTGATATCTGCTGGTCTATTTGCAGCACTGAGAGAAGCTTTGTGATAGAAGAAAGGACTTCTTTGGCGTTCTGTTTGATTTTTTTATGTAAACATTCAGTCTTAACACCAATTTCTTTCTTACTTAGTTCTGAGAGTTAATAGGTAATAGAATACATGTGCAAAAAAATGAAGACCAGCATGAGTATGAATCTATTATCAATCTATGAATTTTAACAAGGGTTAAGAAGTTACACTGTGTTGGTAATTTGTAGGCTGTTCTGAATGAAGGCCAGAGAAGGAGAGGGACTCTCAAGTGATCATTGCATTATGGTCATATAGGACATATGCAGCATGTTACCCAGACCCTCCCTTCATTTTGACACAAATTTTTGATTAAATATCTGAAATACAACAGTCAGCAAATCAGTTCTTGTGTGCTCATTGACAGAAAGGAGAGAATCCCTCAGGGTTTAACTGCATGTGGAATTTCATTTTTATTGTGTTAATTGTACTTTGAAGACAACTATAAAAGATATTAATTAATCATTAAAAGGTAGATTAAAATTTAAACTTCTCCATCATATATCTTCACTCTGCTTATCTTTCATTTTACATTGCAAGTATTGTTAGTGCTGGGAATAACCTGTAAATAATGAATAGGATTTAATTGGAAACTGGAACAGCTAGCTTCCATCAAATCTTATAGTGTTCTTCAGTTCCTCTTGATTATATCTTACATCCGTCACGTGATTACGGGTATTTTAAATTAAACACGCTATAATTTCACCAATGGGAACCAATAAAATTCAGCGAAGTAGGCAATATTGCATACCTTTGTTTTGTAGCTAATTAAAACATATTACCGAGCTCAAAACTTACCATCTCTCTTATTATTATCTACAAACATTACGCTTTCGACATTACTGAGCCTAGCAGTATGCAGGACGCGTGTCATGAACTTCGTATAGACCTCGCTCACCGTGGAGTCTATGTGGCTCGCAGAATCTGAAGTTCTGAGGTTCGATTCTTCATTCTTCATTCTTCTCGTGACAAAACGAAAAAACATCTTTCTCAAAAAACCATTTGTGATAAGATTGATAATGTTAATAATTCATCGCAAAGACTTGTTTGTGCGTGATTGCATTCAGTGGATCATGGGACTGGGAATGCCTTCATCAAAAGTGGAGAAAGTCTACTGATTTTAAGTTCTTTCAAGCGCAGTGAGATGGAAGTGCTCCTTTGAGAGTTGATTCTCTTGGTGAGGGCGTTTTGCTGTTCTTGTTGAAAAAGAGAAGAACTTATCTTTTCAGTTGGGCATTCTGGAAAATCGACATTCCTTTCTAGCGGTAGGCTGTTCCTACCTGTTTTGCTCCGCGTGCTACGGAAAATATTTTAAGAGGAGGAATTAGAAGAAGCCTGCATTATGTCCCTGGACGTGACCTTTTCCTCGCGCTTTGCGGAAATGGCAATGTCCGATCATTTTGCAGCGTGGAATGGAGGCTATTGTCGATGTTTAGTTGTTCAAGGACTCTTAGACAATGGTATGAAATGCAAAAGGAAGACTAAAAGCTTTTCCTTACTTTCACTCGTATCGAGGCTGTTAGGCGGAAGTGGGTACTCGCTAAAATAAAATGTGTCTAGCAGTGTAACAAGGCAGAAAACTTTATCTATTACGACTGGATGGCGATTTCTTGAAATATTTTACGAACACAATGATTTGTTCTTTTCTCGTAGGGGTATTACGAAGCAAAACAGGTAAATGTCAGTGGTGACTTCTTGTAAATGAACACCTGAAGAGTACTTGTTTCGTGGGAGAATGCGAAATCTTGTTCATCGATTAACATTCTCTTGTGTTAGCTCACCTATACGCAAGACTGTATAAAGGCGTTTCAGCCGCTCTTCCAATTTGATACTTGCTAACTAGGTAGGAAGTATAAATAATTCAGTACAAGATATCGAAAGTGAAGTAGATTCAGAGTTCGAAAGCTGTCTAGGAGAGACCCGAAACTCCAACAGTTGCTTACTTCAATCTTGTTATTATTAACTCCTGAATCAGTTATTTTCACTTTCAATTCGGTCACTAGTCACACTCAAACGAGCTTAATTTTAATAACTTTAAAATACAATAGTAGTCTGAGAAAATATAGCACGAAGTATGAATCGCATCTACAGCCAAATGGGTGAAGTAGAATCAAATTTGAAGGACACCGAGATGTTGGAACCGACCGAGAATGTTCTACGTGTTGAGATTACAGACATTGATATCGTGTATACTGGTTCTAACTGTGAACTGTTTCAAGTACAGAAGTGTAAATGGTGTGCCAAGAATTATTGTTATGATACAGCAACTGAGCACGATAAAGAAAATTACTACGGTGCGCAAGTTGACACGGCGAGTGTTAAACACAGAAAGAGATGTTCGCTGGCCATTGATTCTCCAATGCCAGTTGTTCAAAAGCGAGGCTGCCTGAATTCTACTAAGTATGTTTTACTCAGAGCTGAACTGAAAGGTCTACAAGACAGAGGAGAATTTGAGAAACATGAGGAATTGATACAACTTCAATTGTTGAAAATGTCGGCCGAGGATGTTGACAAGGAAGCAAGTCTCCGAATTGAGCGCGCTATGGCGTTATATTTTCAAAACAATGTAAAAGATGCTAAGAAAATATTGAAAATGATCCTTAAGCAAGAACAATATCTGAAAAACCCCGGTATTCTGACTGGAAGAGCCTTAACCCTACTCACGGCGATTTACAAACATCAGGGAAAATATGGGAATGCGATGGAGTGCGTACAGAAGGCCGACACAGCTCTTGAATATCAAGACTCCCGTGACGATAAAGCTGAACTTTATCACAGCTATGGAGCCTTGCTCAACTCTTTACCAACTACAAACCTTGCTCAGGATACCAAAGCTACCAAGGAAGAAGCCTACAAATCCTATGATATGGCGTGCCAATATACATCAAATGAAGGATTTAAGGAGTATGTACACGTTAAAATGGCTGCTATGCTTTTAGTGTCCTGTTCTAAAGCAGTGGACAGCAACAACTCCCTCTATAAAGAGGATGTTGAGAGGGCAAAACTACACCTGGACTTCACTGAATTCGGAGCAGCGGCAGACAACATGGCACTAGGGACAAAAATTAAACATCTGCTATTCAGGTCTGATCAGCACTTCTTTGAGGAGAATGTTGCTATGGCTTTTGAGAAAGCTCATGAAGCAATGGTGCTCATCCAAAGAAATGGGTTCGAACTGGAACGCATTTCGGCTGAAAAGCGGTTGAATCACTTGTCCGAGATACTAAAGCAACAAAATGAGGAATGGCGAGGTAAAGAACCACACCTGGGCGATGATTATCTTGGTGACAGCGAGAGGTCCGAGAGTGAGAATGCTCAGTTTGACTAAAGGTTTTCAACTTAGAAATTATGGCGGTTACCTTCATGTAATAATGAAAGTAATGATAATAATAAATAATAACAACGTGAGTGACCGTCCCATTTTTTTGTTGTTGTTTGTTGTTTGTTTTTTTTTTTGTTTTAAACAAGATGTTAGGATTAGAAATTTCAAAGACTCTGAGATTTCATCAGGTTATCAGCAATTCGTAGCATAACTTAGTAGTTATGTGATAGTGTGATCGGGTTCTTGAAACAGCTTTCCGATTTTAAATCTACTGCACTTTCTATACCTTGTGATTGTTTATTTCAGTTGCTTTTCACTTTTAGTTTCACTTTCCATTCGCTCACTAGTCACACTCGAACGAGCCTGAATACTTCAAAACACATTGGCAGTCTGATAAATTTTTAGGTAAGAAGTATGAACCGCGTTTACAAGGCTTACTGCGAAACGAAACGAAACGAAATGAAAATTTGTAATTTGCGAAATGGAAATATGCTAATAATTAGCAAAATAGAAATCTGTAATTTGCGATTTCTATTTTGCAAACATTAGCATATTTCCATTTCGTTGCGTTTCGTTTCGTTTATTTCCTTTAGCAAACTACAGTAGGCCGTTTTCAACCAAATGGGTTGCAAATGGGGAGCAAATTTGAAGGACACGGCTGAAATGTTGGAAAAAACCAAGAATGTTCTACGCGTCGAGGTTACAGACTTTGCTATTGTGCAGGTGAACTGTTTCAAGTACAGAAGTGTACATGGTGTGCCGAGAATTGTTATGATACAGCGACTAAGTGCGATAAAGAAAATTAATACAGGGCGCAAGTTGACACGGCGAGTGTTAAACACAGAAGGAGATGTTCGCTGGCCATTGATTCTCCAATGCCAGTTGTTCAAAAGTGAGGCTGCCTGAATTCTACTGAGTATGTTTTACTCAGAGCTGGACTGAGGGGTTTGCGAAATAGAGGAGAATTTGAACCACATTTGGGCGATGATTATCTTGGTGACAGCGAGAGGTCTGAGAGTGAGAATGTTCAGTTTGACTAAAGGTTTTCAGTTAAGGAATTATGGCGGTTAGCCTCAATTAATTATGATAGCAATGATGATAATAAATAATAACAACATGAGCGACCGTCCAATTTTTTTGTTGTAAGTAGGATGTTTGGATTAGCAATTTCAAAGACTCTAAGATCTCATTAGGTTATCAGCAATTCATAGCATGACTAGAACTGTAGAATGCCACTTTCTATGGCAAAATTGAAATTGTTAGAGGAAATTGCGCTTCTTTAAGTAATTGACTAGTTCCTCACATACTTGCTTTTAGTGCTGAAAGTGTTGAAATTGGACCATTATTAAGTGGAGGATCAAAGTCCTAAACTCCTCTACCAACTGGCTTGATTTGAGAAATTTTGTAAAATATCTGGAAATATATATTATTGCCGTGATTGTTTGAAAATTGTCGTCTTTGATTCATTTCTTGTTTAACTGCATGTGTGATATACCTCAAAGAAATGCCAACTTTCGATCTCCCTGCTGTCTACAGATTCACTACTCAGTTTTAACAGAAGTCGCATCGCAATGGTTTAGAAATACGGCGAAGCATATAACTACACCAAAATGTTGCTGTACGCTGGCAGAACTAATTGACACGTTGGTATAAATTTACCTGCCAGTTTTCTCTACGCTCAGAAAATAAATGTTAAGCTGATTACAAATATTTTGTCATTGTGTTTTCGTAAGCTTCCTGTTTCACTAAATTCGTTTTTCGCACAACGTATCTAACTTTAATTCCCAATGGAGCGGGGGGGGGGGAAGGTGCCCTTGCAAATCTGTGACGCACAAATCTTCCTATGATTAGAGGTTACCGTAAATCCTCGTCCAAACACGTATGAAACTGAAAAGTACTGAGAGAATAAGAGAATAAGACTAAACGTTACGTGAATGAGAATTTTTCTATTGTCTCTGATTCAGCTATATACAAGTTTTGGAATTTCTTATGAACTCTTGAGAACGCAATTGAAAACTTCTGTTTCCAATTTTTGGAGAAGGCATCTCAATTTCTAACGGCATCACTTAAAAGTTATTTACAAATAAATCTGTATCACGCAGTTTCTCCTATGATGATTATAGCGTTTGAAACAACGAAGTAGTTCACTTTTTAATAGAGAAATCTGGTTTGACGTTACGTTCTTGTGATTCCACAGAATTCCCTTTTACTCAAAAAGACGCTCTTAGAGTTATTTAAAATTTCCTCCTTGTAATCCAGTCCTATGTGATCGGCGATTCAGGCCTTTGATCAACGTTAGCATGTAACAGTACAAATAAGATGGCACTGAATTGACTGACGCTGTTGGTCTATGTAGAACTGCCGGGTCCTAACTGGAGTAAGATCCAGACAGTTAGAAATTTTCACTGAATTTCCATTTTTAGGTTTCTTCAAACTTGTCGAGAGTATCAGATGCTTGTTTGGAAATGTCAGTCGATTTCAAAAGTTATGTTGGTTTCCAGTTGAAGAAATATACGAGCTTGGGCGTATTATAAAATCGCTTCGTTCTCAACTCTCCCAAAGTTTGGCTCAGGTTTTTGCCATGCGGACTGTTTCCACGGAAACGGTAATAAGCCGAGTATTTTTTTTCGCGAAAGTCAGAAAGTTGAAAATAAACAGGTTTGATTTGAGTGCCACATAATAAAATACTTATCAACCTCGATTGCCCGAGCCGTATTGGATAATATTGGCCCTGTTTCGTTTGTGTACGGACCTTGCTGGGCACTGTCCGTACTGCCACAACCTCGGGCCAATATTCCCTATTACAGCCCTCACGTTCAATTAGTAAGAAGTTCGTACTAACTGAATCTGAGCAGAAAACTTCACGTAGATCTGAAGAGAGGGTTTTGGATGTTTGATTCGTTTTTCTTTTTTTTTTTTTTCAGTGTCAAGCGATTCAAAATTTTAGTTTAGCTTAGACAATTTTCCAAGCTTCCGCATATTATACATAAACCACTTCAACACTTTCGCTTAACATTTCTATTCAAACACCCGATTCTCTTAGTTTGAAAAAACCGTTAATGGGTTAGTTTAAGCACAAATTCAACAAAAAGCACTGATTAATTTTAAACTTGAAAGAGTACCGCAGGAAAAAGTATTACATAAAGACTCGGGGAGGCCAGAATATACGGAACAGGTCACATGATTGCGACTTTTTCAGTAAGACACTCAATCTACGACGTTAAATAGAAGAGTTCCTCTGGCGTTCAGGATGATCTGACGAGCCATGAACGAGCAGTTGAGTGAGGAAACACCTTTCTTTCGTTTTCTGTCTGTGTTGTGATCATTCGAAGAACGTGATCTTTCCATTTTCCTCCCGGACACTACGCAAGCAGGTCGCGATATCTCTTAGCACTGTTGCCTGAACGTGTTTTCTCGCCTCTACCCCCAAAAGTACAGCTTTCTGAAACTTCACGAAACCGCGAGTCTCTGTTATAATTCCACTTCTGAACGACTCCGTGACAAATAAAATGTGATCAAGTAGCTTTAAGTGTCTTCTTTTTTCTCTGTATACGGTGGGGGTGGAAGGGATTCGTCAACCTCTTGGTAAGCCGGTAGATAAGGAAACTTAATAGTCTGGTACGCAGGGGGAGGGGGTCGTTCATCGTATCGAGCAATTCTTGATTCTCTCTCCACTCCTCTCCGGCTTGAGTAACCTCTTGGTCTGTGATGTCTGTGTGAGTGACGCGTGTGGCGATGAGGCGTAGAAGTAGATTGACTTGATGACCTCGATATCTAAAAATTAAAACCAATCGGATGGAAAAATCTTTAAGTACAAAAAGTTATCTGCGGTTTAGTGACAGAAATGTACAGTAAAACCGAAATTCCGCTTAAAGCAGTGTTGGAAGGGTGACTGGTCGCCAACAACCTTTGCGAGTTTTCTCCCTTAGACGGAACGAGTCTCCCCCTTTCATTTAACAGTTTTGCCCCAAAACATTCAACTGTTTTCTTCATGGCAGAACAACTTCCTTTTCTGCCAAAATCGTGGCTTTCTTGTAACAACGTTAATTGTTTATTTAATCTGAAATTGCATGTTGTTCAACAGGAAAAGAATACTTTCTGTGGTAAGGAAACGAATCAAAAGATTTTGGGAAGGGTGAACTTGTTTTAAATTAGGTGGCATATTAGCGATTGTGGTACAAGGGCAAACTTGAAATGGTGCGAAAAAACCATAAATCGATAGAAGAGTGGATTGACTTTTGTTGCCTAAAGAAGGATTCTTATAACACGAACAAGCATGGTGCGCCAGACCTACAAGGATGAAACTCACAACATTTTTCCTATTTAAAGTAAAGTAAACAAATAAATTTCCTATAATTAATGCAGATTATTATCAGCAATGAAGTAGCAACCCAGAAGGTTTCATAACTTCAACTTACTCTTCTTTGTTGCCTAATTTCTTCCAGGGTGTTTTCTGATGCAACTGAAGTTGATGTGATCATACAAACAGATGTTGAAAGTTCAACAGGCTCAGCTGTGTGCTGAAGAAAGAAAAAATACAAAAATAATCCCAAAAGTCAAAACTGACTCTAAGATAAAGGTTCCACTTGAGGGAATTAAAAGGTGTTTCAAGACCTGTGTTCTTTTCTTTTTTTTATTTAACCCTTTAACTCCCAAGATCTGATTGTTGATTCTCCCCTCTAACTGTTACACATTTCCTTATAAATTAGTCACAGGAATTTGGTGTTAGATCAAGAAAACAGCTTCTACTTTATGAGTTTTAGTATTCTCATCACATGATTACTGAATAATGTAAGGGATATTATAGCAATAATTTACAAGTTAATCCCTTCTTGGAGTTTAAGGATTAAAATGCCTCTAAATGAAGAGATGACAATCATCTATTTTTTGGAAAGAAAAAGGATTTAGTGGTGTGATATTGATTCTGTAGTGCTCACAAAAACTCATTTTAATATCAGGCCAAATTTTATTGAAAAAGATGCTTGACCTTGTTATGGGGTTTTACTTCAACAGTTTGAGCCCTGAGCTATGAAGAATTCATGCATTAGCCTCTACAGTAAACCTAAAATAAGGGTTACACTCACAGAAAAACAATCACTCTACCTGTAGTGGGTGAGGATTGATAAAGCAGTTGTGTTGAAAAAATGATGATTTAAATGCTACAAAGGCTCCTTTCATGCTCACAACAAATATGATTGCTACAACTCCAAGGAATGAACCAAAAAATAAGTTCCATGATACTTCTTTCTTCCCTGACACAATCAGTGGCAAAATGATCCAGAACATCAAGATACTTGTTATAATGGTCAAAACACAAAACATCAGAAAGAAATGAATCTGCAAAGACATAACATACGGAAAATTTTCAATCACCCTACAAATTAAGTGCACTGATTGTACAATCATATTTAATAAAGAAAAGCCTCCATTTGGCTCCAAATTTTTCTGAGAGAAAAGCTTAAGGACAGAAATGTTTATGAACACCTCATTGTTCCATAGCTCACTGTTCAAAAGGGATATTGATATTAAGAAAATTCTCCCTGTAAGTATCTTAGGAAATGTATAGAGAATAGAAGGGAGATTATGCATAATGATGTTAAAGGATTAAGGGCAAATTAGAAATGGTATATCCAATCAAGTGATGTATTTACACCAATGGTGCATGTGTGGAATTATTTGATGGATAATGATTATTTCACTTTGCCTACAATCTCCTAGCTCCCCGGTGTAAATTTAGCAAACAATGCCCAGGTGAAAAGTTTTCTTCTCCAGTATGAAAAGTTTGAAATGACAAAGTTTCCAACCATAATATAAAAATAATGTGGAAAAGTTGTCTTCTGAGCTTTGGTGAGGTACTGTCCCATTTTGTTTTCTTTCTTTCAGAGAGAAGAGGAAAATATCTTGACAATGGTGATGAAGGTTGATCACTGCCTTGATAAGTTTTTCATTAACAACGAAGTGTGCTACTGCTCATCAAGGCTGGTTATAAATATTCTCCCTTATTGTTTTTGGCTTAACACAGCTGCATTTTATCTCCTTTGCTTTCTTGAATGAGGGCATTCACTCAACTGTCTAAAAGTTAACTTACAGTTGATTTTTTGGCATGTTTGTAACTAAGACATCCCACTCCTCCTGTGACAATAAACTGTAAAAGAAACCAAAAATACTTCTATCAGTCTGTTTAAAATAGCCTCATTTTTCCATGTTTTCACCCAAAATAATAGTCTTCCAGAACTGACCATCAGAGAGGCAAGGGGAGTATTCTTTACCTGATAAGTCTCACCTGGCCTAGGGCATCTAAATGGCAAATTCTGCTACTTGAGCTTACTGATGGTTTATGCTTTTGCTTCAGTTTCTAGAAGGGGTCACTGGAAACACTTTGACTTCTGTTCCCAACACACTTAGAACTCTCCCTGTACTTACACAGATTAGAAGTATTGTTAAAAATGATAAATAATGCCTCTTTGTGCTATAATTGACCACTTCATGTACAGAATCACACTCAAAAATACTTTTACTTTGATTTTAAGAGAAAAACACAGATTAAAAATAACTAAAAAGATTATTTTTATTTTAGTTGAGTGACACCAGTGACCGTTTAATAAATACAGGTGGAGAACAATAAAAACAGGCTGTTAAGTAAAGGGTGACCATGACCAGCTAATAGAGGTGACCACTTATTAGAGGTGAAAATTACAGTGATTAAGGGAAGAAAAATTCAGGACTTTGACTACTGACTGCTTAATACAGGGTGACCACTTAATACTGCGTCACTTAATACAGGTTTGACTGTAGCTTTAAAGTACCAAAGTACCAATTCTTTAATGGAATGATACTATGGCACTTGTTTCCCTATTTCTATTTTAAAATGGTATAAAAAATTTGGTCGCACATAATTTTAGATTTTTGAAAATAAAAGGTCTCCAACATAACACCAAGATGTCTTAGAAACACCCTAAATGTTAGGTTAATGAACTGATACTCAAAAGGAAGTATGGTGATCCATTGTAATAATTCAAATTGTGATCAGAAAATCAACATTTTTCATTCCACAAAGTTAAATTAATCTGATTGACCATAGCTTGAATTTCTTTTGGTAATAGGTACGTACAAAAATTCATTTTGAGTCATGTACCAAAATGGCTACAGTGTAGCTAGCCACTACACTTGAACTTATCTGACATTTGAGAAGAGGAAATTTAACTATTATTTGACCTGAATAAAGATATAAATTGATCAAAAAAGTTAACTCTCCCTCTAAGATTTTATAAATCCAAGCATAATCATCACCATGTCGATAGTAGAGCTACCACATAACAAACTATTATGAGTTTAGAATGACTCTTTGCTGTCGTTGAAAATCTAGTTAATAAGTGTAAATTTTGAAATTTTATTAATTCTTTGAAGCTGGAAAAAATAGAAGATTGACACAAGTTAGTAATTCAGCCGCTTTTTTTAACAAAAATGCTACGTGATTTTGAAATAATTTTAAATCTCTACATAATATTTAAATTCAAATAATCGTCTCCACTTGCTATTAACACAACTTAAACTCATGTCTGTTTTTCTGATCATGGGTGGCATGTAAACAGGGCAACCTAATTCCCACAACTTCTTTGAAAATAAGAAAATATGCGTAACTGCTAACTAAATTTTGTTATTCAAACTAACAACTGAAAGAGTAGATATGGCGTAGCAAGATTAAGTAATTGTAAAAAGACTTCTCTTAATGTCGCCAAAAATAAACAATACAACATGCGAGATTATTTTTAAAGGGATCAGAGAAGGATTACGATGCCGATACCGCAAATCTGATAGGGTCAATTGGAATGTCGTTTGTTTATCATTGTGGAATCATTTTGAAAATTCCAACCCAACACAGAACAACACACAGAACGAATTCGGCACAATTAATTTTCATACCCACCAATATTCCAGACCACACTGGAAGTCCTTCGGGTTTAAACTTAAAAAATGCTCGATGATCCTCTTCTCTAGTATTAAATGCGCCAATACCAACACCTACAAGGCCGCCTAATATTTGTACTATTCCTACATGAAGGGCTGTCTTGACAGAATAAAAATTCTCCGCCATTGTTTTAATTCTGCTCTTCCTGTCAACAGAAGCTGAACGGCCTGGCTACTAATGTAGATAAGGAGCGGTAGCTAAAGAGGACAGCAGCGAATCAACATGGCGTAAGTTTTGCGCCGAACATGGGCCAGTTTGTGGTTTTTGTCGTTTTGATCGGTGTTTTCTTCGCAGGACTGTCTTTCAAGTCACTGTGCCTCTATTTCATTGTCACTGGCGTAAGCTTTGGCTTGACATACTTATTTGTCGCAAATAAATGGGAGCTGGATGGTCTATTCGAGGAGCTATTCAAGATTCTCGAGCTGTTCGGTTTCGGAGCACCTCATCGTCTCGAGAACAGAATTCCTTACTCGTCTGCTTTCACAGATGATAATTTTTACCACCTGGATGAGATTCCCAAGCCTTTGGAGGAATGTTTCAAAACGCTTATCGAGAACATTATTCGTGATTTTATACGTTCATGGTACAAAGATGTCGGAGAAGGGGAAGACTTCATCTCCGAAACAAGGGAATCTCTAGAGATGTTGTGCATGGAGGGGTACAGACGTGCGTCGCAGATTGATTCTCACTACTTGGTTGAACAAGCCTTGGTGGTTTTTCATGAACATCTACAAAGGTTTAATAAAGCAACGGCAGTTGTGAAGGCAAAAGACCCAAAACTGAGGCTTAACATTAGTTCCTCACAACTTCTCTGTCAAACCTATGAATCTCAATTAACTTCCACACCACCATCGCTTTTGAGTCCATCAGCAGAACTCAGTTACTTAAGGAATGTTATTGATTCACTATTAGCCGCAATGAGTCCAAAAGAAACCTATAGTTGTGACACAGGAAGATTCATTTTAAGAGAAATTTTAACTGTGCAAGTGATGCTACCTTTAGTTAGACTTATGACAGACCCAGACTGGATAAGTCAGGCAGTGATTGATATTTTGTCAGATGACAATGATGTGCAGGTTAAGGAAGTTAGTAAATCAAGTGTTGAGGGGAGTCATCCTGTTGTGGAAAGTTGTGATGAACCCAGAAATGCGGTAAAGTCACAGTTTACTAAAAAGATACATACAGCCCCAGTGACAGAGAGCATCCCACCAGATCATGATCAGGAGAAGTCAAAGGAAGAAGGAGTGAAAAATATCCCTAGGAAAGAAAGTAAGGAATCTATTGACGACCCGGGAGAGAGGATTGAAATTACATTTCCAGGAAGTGAAGAAAACCCAGATTTCAAGTGGTCAGTAAGTTCTCAAAGGCAGCCTCCAGTTGGAGAGAGTCAGCATGATAATTCAGAGTCCTTTTTGGTTATTTCAGTGGAAGAGAACAAAGAGGAGTTAAGTAGGAGAGAAGAGCAAAGTCCAAATGAAGGAAACTGGTCAACAGAGGTTGCTCCACCTTCTTCAGTAGAAAACCTGACGTCCTTTAGTTTATCATCGTCATGGGGAATTTGTCCATCATCCCAAGACAGATCTTTTAACACAGGTAGTTTTGAAGACATGAAAGCAAATCTCTCAAGAGTTGAAAGTAATGATGTTGGGGGAAGGCTGGGAGGATTTGGAAGCAACTTAAAACAACTAACTTGCTGTCACAAATTTGAAGAAAGTGTTAATCAGGCTGCAAACCACCATAAGTCAAAACAAAAGGGAAGTAATGTGGAGGATGAGCCGTCTCCAAGGGTCAGAACTAGAAGCCTGTCTCTTCCAGGATGTGATGAACTCTTTGAAAATAGACCTAATGGTGAACTCATAAGATCTGTCAGTGTACCCAGCAGGTTGGAAATTGCAGATTTCAATGATTTTGAAGAATTTTTCACTCCAACCAGTCCAAGAAGGTTTAACAACCCTCAGTTGTATGGCAGAAGCTTTTGTAGCAGCTCAGACAGCTTTAAGTCAATGTCAAGTGAAGAAGAACCTTTAGATGGATATATTGAGAGGGGAGAAGAAGCATTTGAGCATTGTGAAGATGTTAGGTACAGTATGGGCTCTCACTGGGGAGGTGCAAGACAGAGAATAACTAAACAAGCTTCCTTTGAGGAGTCCCACGAGAAACAGTCATCCAATTCTTCTCCAGGAGCTTTGACTAGTTCTAAAGACATATTGTTACCAACCAACTATGAAAGATTAAGAAGCACCAAAAGAGCATTGCAAAGTCAAAAGGAGATATCAGAGTTAGCAGACATCAAGGAATCCTCTTTAGAAGATGCAGGAAAAGATCACTCTGGCAGTGGTGCTGTCCCTCAACAGAAGCCTCTACACTTTGGATTTGGAGCAAACAATACAGAATCCTCCTTTGGTGATGTTTTTCTAACTGCAGGAAAGAAACTTGTCAACATCATGAAGTTTGATAGCCTGAGCAGCAGTAGTGCAAAGTCAACAGAAACAAGTTCCCTTTCAGGAAGCGAATCCCTAGATTATACTTCAGGGAATCAAAGCAAAGTTACAACAAAGAAAGAGTCATTAGGTGATGGAAGAACAACATACAGTTCATTTAGTGGAAGACGGTTATCAAGAAGTGATGCTGTGATCCAAGAATCTGTGGATAGTGGAGGAGAGGCATATTTTGGAACACCTAGGGAGGATCATGTACAAGAGATTAAGGATATGAAAAGGAAGGGAGAAACAGTAGATGGAAGTGATGTGGGAGTGGTGAAGAGAATGCATCCTAGTCAATTGATTACCATTCCCAGCACAATTGTAGCTCTTGAAACAACATGGGAACCAGGGAGAAACAAGTACACATTGTACAAAATAGAGGTACATATTGTACTATAGTATTTGAATGTTGTTTACTAATAAAGCCTAACCTTTAGGTGGAAACTGAAGCTAAGTGTTAAGGTTTGGATTCAGACCAAATCTAATGCTAGTGCTCATCTGATAACTGATAACACAGATTTTACCAGTGTACAACTTCTTATCTTGAAAACAAGAGTTAAATTGTACATTGCAATTGTTAAACTACTTAGGTTTACTGTTATAATAATACACATGAAAAGTGCTGATTGGCTAGAAAAGAGTGAAGTTATCTTGTAACATTAGTGCCAATTTGTCTTGAGAAAGGACCAAATGATGAACATTTTTAACAACAGCCAAGTTTCCTTTATTGCTGGCCACTAAAAGCATGGTCCTGGTCGTTTGAAGGTTGGATAATGCTAACCACTGGATAAATCTCTATCCAGGTGATAATGCAATATGTTTGGCAACTGCGTTTCTGTAGGGTAGCAAGTTATCCATTGGATAGCATTATTCACTCTTTATATTACTGGGCTCTGGACCTGATGTTTCAAAACAGCAGGCTGGCTGTTCTTTTCAAGGGCAATGTAACACTCTTATTGTACTTTACTAGGTTTTTAAATATATTATTTAATTAGCAATTGTAAGTCAGACTTCATTAATCCATTCGAACTAATGATTACCTATGCTAATTGGTCTTAATTGTTTTTGTTGTAACATTTGTTAGTAAGAAGTTGAAAAAGGCTCTTACTTGGTGTAGAAGACACAGTTGACATAAAACAATAGGGAGTAAAAAGACAAAAGAATGAGGAAAACAGTAAAAACTACAGATTAATGAGGCAGTGTTCTATTGTGATTTGTTCTGTGTGTTCTGCATCAAGAAGGAGACTTTGAAGCTGCCATGAACTAGGTTTTCATAGGGTATATTTAAGTCATGCATGCTTGTTACATTTGTAGTACTTTTTTCACAAACAATGTTGTCACAAATTCATTTTGTGTTTGTTGCTGGTTACTTTGGAAAGTATGACATTAGGATTTGGAATGATGTGTATAAAGCAGCAATTAAGGAAGCTAACAATGCAGCAAAGAAAGAAAGAACAAAGAGAAAGCTCTATGCTGGTGCAGATAATCCACCAGAGGATGTGGAAATTTCAATGGATATGATCAAGAGAAATGTCCCCCTGAAGCGTGTGATAAACCGACGCTACAGAGAGTTTATGGAGCTTCATAATCGTTTAACTGGTGGAAAGCTGTCAGGTTACATGAAAGGTGATTTAAAATTAGAATTTGTAAATCCAGGCCTATGTTATAGAAATATTATTTTCAACGTAAACATAAATTCAATTAACTTCCTCTACACCCTATTGTCAGTATACATATTCTTCATACTATTCTCTAGAAACTTACCTAGGGTGTTGACAAAGCAAAGTTGTTTAACAATGAAGAGCCTCTCTAGAGCCTCAAAGAACAAATTTTCACTCAAAATTTCAGTTATCAAACATTTTTAAACTTCCTTATGTTTCTTATCAACATCTGTTTTGAAAAATACAATTAAAAAGATAGGTCACAGTGCTTATTTATGAGATGAGATGGTCTAAACTTACACTATTTATACATGTACTTGCACAAATCACTCGTGACATTTCATAGATTCACAGCACATTTTGCGGCAGCTGGAAGCAAGGGTTTTTGGGGTAACACAAGAGAGAGGTAGAAAGTCTTGGCCATAATGGAACAATTTCATATATAATTTGTTGAAAAATCACGAAATTTAAACAATATCAACTCAAGATGTTCCTATTGTCATTGCTCTCAAAGCCATAATTTTCATTTGCAAGTAGTGGGCTGTGTGCTGGCTTTTAGCTATATCTTTCCCTTCAATGAATTTTTTTCATTTCTTCAAATAAAAAGGAATGATTTGTACACCAAAATTATGCAATAAAATATATGGGTCACTGTGCATACCTCTAAACTGGCCTATTGATTGAAAAACAATACAGTGATCTCAGAATATGCACACTTATTCTCCTGAATACATGAATTTTTAATGCAGTGCAGGATGCGCAATGCAATACTGAGGAATCACCTTAAGGAAATCTACCACAGGTAAAAAATATTGGAGCAGTCTTGACAGAACAATCACTCAATAGTCACCAACGTTTTGATGTCTCATGTAGGGCTTGAAGAACATATCATTTTAAAAAATGCATGCTTAGAACTGGTTGCCAGGGATTTCAAGAGCTATAGCTTAAACTATTTTAAAAAACATTCTCAAGGGGAAACTTTCAAACATTTCTTTGGACATTTTTAAAACTGTGCCCTTAAATATTAAAGTAGTGTCAAATTACAGTCTGTTCTGTTCAGAGGTAAAAGATATTCTGAAGAAGTGTCACAGTGACATTTCATTTTGTGATTTGTCTTTTGTTTTAAATTGATAAATCTTATGATATAACTGTTTTGTTTATGATGCAGATATTCTGAAACCCAATAGGAAATACAATCTGCCGTTTGGAAGACTTGACCCTCATGTGGTAGAGGGAAGACGGGAACTCCTGCAACATTATTTATGGGTGAGTTTATCAAAATCATACACTTGGCAGCACCTCCCTTTTGTAGAACACAACCTTAAATATACATTAAATGAAATATTTTATGATTTATTGGTCTCCAAATTGTCAGCATTAATTAGCCAAGACTTGGCCAATGGTTCTTTCAAATGTTTTTTTCACAGAAGACATACAGCTAGGCTTTGATAGAGTTACATGTGATCAGTGTGGTGAAAAAATCTTCTTACCACATTTGCTTTTAGAGCCTAATTTTCAAACCAGCATTATGCAGTAGTGAAGAACTGAAGCAGTTTCTTGGTGTGACTGGAGGAGAACAGATATCTTTCATTAAACCCAGTGTAGCACAGATTGTGAGCCAGTCAGTTCATGTTCCACGCGTTGACAAGGTATGTCTTTTATGACTGACTTCAGTGACTGTAGTGTATGAGCTTGATATTGTTTTTAAAAAATCATAAGATGAGAAACATTTCAATGGTGACTGTTGAGAAATGCTGGACAAGGTTTGTGTGTACCCTGTAAGGTAACAAGTCTTTGAGATTAGTTCAGAGAACAAATAGATCTGTTTCATCTTATGATTTTACATCTTTATCACTTTTTATCAGCCAGCTGCTAAGTGACATCTCATTATGCTGGCCATGTGGAAAGTTTCTTTACGTATAAGTGCTATAACAATTTTTTTCATTTGATTGTACCAGATGCTGAGTCGGCAAGTGACCAAAGTTATTGACAGTATCAAGACTGCTTTTGATTCAGGTAGCTGTCTATTTAGAATGTTTCTTAACCCTTCAACTCCCAAGATCTGATTGATAATTCTCCCCTCTAGCTGCTACACATTTCCTTGTAAACCAGTTATGAGAATTTAGTGTTAGATCAAGATAACTACCTAATAAGTTGGATTTTTCTCATTACCTGTTTGTAGGATAATGTATGGATATTATAGGGAGAAGTTCCATGTTAATCACTTCTGGGAGTTAAAGGGTTAAGTGAGTATTTCCTCTCATACCTGATGTAAAGTGGCAATAATTTTAATTCTACTTCCCTTTCAGTTGAAGAGGAAGAGAAAGTATCTGAGGAATGTGCCACTACTACTACTACAAGTGAAGATGTAGTAATTCCATGGAAACTAACCTGTTATCACAATGGTGCTTCTGGAAAATCAGTAAGAACAGATAAAGAAAAAGGAGAAGCTTTGGTTTTGAAAATTTTATGGATGTTCAGTGTTTTCTGTTTGGTTTATTTTGACACATTGACCATCATAAACAAAATGACATATTGAATTATAAATACATTGAATATCATGGTTGCCTTTTTTTTCAAAGGAAATGAGATCATGTTGCTGAAAGGAGACAGCAAATGCAGGGTTTTTGTTCATGAATATCCATCTCCTATCTTTGATTTGAAAAGAGAAGAGGATTGTACAATATTTTAGGAAATTCTCTGTACAGGCTTTTAGTGCCCAAGTCATATAGGCTCTGGTGATGGCCAAAATCATAGGTAGAGGTAAAATAGATGAAACTATTGGTCCCATTTATAAAGTCTACACTCTACCTGTGCTCATGGCAACAGATTCTAATATGAGCAGCCTTTCTTGCTATAAATGAAATCTGGTTTTGTGACATGTGCATGTGATTTTTGTTATATTAAGTATTTTAATGTTGAGCCATTATTTTCAGGGAATTGGTTTTGATCAAGAGAGTAATTCAACAGAGTCTTACTACTTGGCATTTCTTGCCTACCACGAAGAGTTCACTCCACCCACTCCACCTTCACCAATTCAGTCCCACTCAGAAGAAAAATACAAAAATAGTGATGAACAAGATGGATTTCACCTCTGGAAGGAAAAGTTGGACAAGAATGTGGCAGATTCTGACTCAGAGGAAGAAGCTTCCTTGTGGGATGCACGTCAGTCATTAGGACTTCGCACAGCTGGTGATGGAAGTGACAATCCTGATGACCCTATTCCTGCTCCAGCAGGCCAAGTATTATCCTTCCAAAGAGTACGCTCAGGAGCCATCTTCAAGAAGTATTTACCCAACAATTTACTAGCACCTGAGTCTTTGGCTGCAAATCAACCTGCTCCAAGGAGCAAGTCTATGGAGGAGATTGCCTCTGTGCCATCTACCAGCAAGTTTCAGTTCAAACCACAAAAGATTTTGGAAGTTGCCAAACGAATTGGGCAGGGAAACAGGAGTGAATCTCTAGAAAACCTTGATACACTGTCCACTTCTAAGAAACCAGGTACCTTCAAGAAATCTCTGAAAGAAAATTCAGTACCCATTCTTGGTGCAAATCCTAAGAAGAGAAAATTTGCTTCCTCCACGGAGTTGCTACTTCATCCAGAGGAACCTTGCATAGTCTCTAGAATGGATCAGCCAAGTAACCCTGAGAGTGGGTCTCATATGGATAGGAGCTCAGCTGGGTCAGATCTTCAGTGTCCTCTTTCAGAAACCATTCTTGCTCTGCTGTGTGAGCTTCTTAAAGAACGTAGATCTTGGTTGACAATTGACAGAGTTCAGCAAGCCTTCATGGCCATTTTTGGAGGGCTGTTTGAATGGTATGGCATGGGTTATATGTAGGTCCCAAAAACCTTGTATCAACATGAAATTTATGAGCATTAATTTGAAAAAAACTTCACTTAAAATACTATCGACTGATGGTAAATTATGCAAACAAGTTGAGATTAACCCTTCCCCCTATGTTATTACTAGAAACAAGTAGCTTTTCATTGTCAAAGCAGGGTGTTCAAATGTTAGATATTGAATTCATAATTACACTTAAATGCCCCTGTTCTAAAGAATTTTTTTGAAAGTTGTATTTTTGTTTTGAGAGTAACTTTAAGTGTTTTCTTGTGTTGAATTGAAGGCAGATTCAAAGTGGAGTAGATGACATCACAACTGATGACAGCTGGGCACTGTATCTTAACAAGCTGATTGAAGCATTATGGCCTGGTGGAAAGTTACGTGAAGAGTTTGAAACACCAAAAAGTGAGCTGGAAAAGTCAAGAACAAGAAAGGAAGCAGTACATGCCTTGATGAATGCATTCCCAGGTTTATGATATTGCTTAATTATAAGTAACAGATTTAAAAGTATAAGTTCAATGGGGAATATTTTGAGTTTACTAGACAAAATGTAATGAAAAAGTCCATAGGAACAATTGGCTAAGAGAATTTGAACTCAACAGTTTAAGTCTATAGAGATTTTGAAACCTCCATGACTGCAAGCAAAATATTTGTTATTAACAATTCCACAATATTTATAGGGGTATGTCACACTGTGAGTTTGTGCTCTGGGTTCCTTCAGTTTGCCAATCATAGGTGTCAAATTGCTATTGTTTCCTGCTCTAATCAACAAAAAGCAGAGCATATTGGCCAGACTTTCATGTTTTCTTAACTATAATTTACTCTGTAAGGTTTGACAAAGAAAGACTCTCTGATAACACAACTGATGCTGATGAGGACTTCTTTTTGAAAGGAAATACTAGTCATTAAGACTATATTTTGTCTCCACTACACAACAAATAACATAGTAGTGTAAACCAAGTACATGTAAGGTTATTTAGATAAGCCTGCCGAGAACCAACCTGGGACATATTGCCTAAGGCATACATGCATGAATACATTTGCAACTGATATACCATATACAATCCTGATATGCAATCAATTCCTTACACGCTAAAAATAGGTATACATCACTAGCATGTTAACTTTACCAAGTCAGGATAAGCAGAGATAGGCAACTGCTTCCAATGACATTACTATGGTTATACAAAGGCTAAAAAAAACCTGCCAGAAAAAAACCCCTTTGGGGAAAAAATATGACAGGAAATCTGAGTAGGAACCATGGCCCAAACTCAAAGCAGTTAGCAGCCCATCCTACAAAGCTTCACAGTTATACAAAATAATTTTCCAAACAAAAGTAAATTTGGCATCAGCCAAAGGTGCAAGGTTGGTTCTGAAGCCAAGATGGACATCATGAGCTATACTTCCCCTTATATACCGCTGCATCATTATCCATTATGCTTGGGCCTGAGACCCAGGCCTTGTTGTATCTCATGCCAACAGAATATTTATTTCGGCTGCCTTATTTGCAGACTTAATCGTCAGAAATATCATTTTCATTCTATTTTCCAGGTTTTATCATGTTGTTGATTGGTCCTCGAGTTTACCATCAGACTGCTGTGAACATTATTGACTCTATGCAATATCCCCAAATCAACAAGTAAGATATATGCTAACTTACATTTTTACAATGATTGTGTACACAGTTGTATTAAGTCATCTACAGTTTGGTCATTCAAGCAAATCCCAGACTTAGCGTGGAAGACAGTAAGGAGAATTACCAATGCAATCTTTGGGTGAAAGAGTTAAATAGCCACACTGAAATATATTTGTGCTTTCATTGGTTACTTTTAGTCATGAAAATGTTATAAACAAAATTAATAATTCTTGCAGGGGACCCAAGTATAGTTGATGCAAATGGTATTTAAAGTTCTAATAAGTCACTTCATGTTAAAAATTTTTCTCCTGACAGAATCTTGGTTTACACTATGTTGGAGTTGCTGTTTTCAGAATTTGTGCCAGAAATTCAAGACAGCTTACAGTTCTATAGACGTGTGACAAGAGAAAAGTAACTTGTTATGTAACACGTATAATAATTTAGCTTATAGGAGATAAGCGAATGTTGCTTTTTATGCATGCTGATTAGCTAGTTCAGAAGTGAGTAGCAAGTACTATTCTCTGCCAAGCAGCTGATGAGACAAAAATTGAACATCAAGAGGTTAATTTTAGACCATTATTATAACTATTTGTTTGGCATTTGTGTGGTGTATAGTAAAATGATTATGCACCTCAATGTCAGTGAAAGTGGTGGATAATTACCTTGCTGCTTCCCAGCTCCCTAATATCCACCACAAGTCACTTCAGTAAATAATTGTTAAATATGACAAACAAATAGTTAAGAACAGTTTGCAGCATATGGAGACAATCATTTGGTTGCATGATGCTACCTTATCTGATAATTCAATGTCATATTAGGTTTTTTATTGACTAAATTTTATTTTCTTGGAAATTTGAAGTGTTGCAGAGGCTTTACTCAACTTGTTCAGTGCAGTAATAGAGAGAAAGAACAAAAACATGTCAGATGAACTGCTTACCTAATCATCCACATTTTGCAATGCCTATGCTGTTGTAACTCTTTGATAGTCACCTTCATATGTGGCTATGTGTTGCATTTGGTGCTGGGCATTTTGTATATTGTTAGTCTGTGTGCATGAGGTACTTGCACATCATAGCCAGCATATCGGTTGATTGTCTCTTCCCAGTCTACTTACTAGGTATTATAATGTAGCCTACAGTTTAGTTAGTAATTACCTAAGAGAAACTTTAAATTGGCAGTGAATGGTGTGGTTAATTAAATGGAAAAAGGTTATTTATTAAATTTTTACACAGATTTTGATTTTTGTTCTTACTGCATATGTTAAATTTCAGGTCAATTGTCAGAAGTAAGAAATAAATTATATCCTATTTAATGTACAATCAAAGATATTACATAAGACTAGTATAGCATATTTATGATTTGTCAAATTTAATTATTATGTTCCTTTCAAGTGGGGCAGAAGAGGGTATTGACCATATTGAGAAACATCAAAAAACAGAATTTGAGAATCTAAGTACTAATTTTTTATTACTATCACACAAAGTTGAATTACATCACATTGCATTACTTATTGTTTAAAATCACCAATGTTTTACTTGAAGTTAAAAAATGCAATAGAGTGGAATAAATGAAGACATGGCATTAATATAGATCACATGCCTAAGGTTGATGTATTTAACTCTATCAGGTCATCTCTCTATCCACAAATATAATCATCATTCACCTTATAATGGCATTGTGATAACACTGAAAGGTTAAGTTTTAAGTAAAACTTTTATTTTGTTATTTTTATTGCTTAAATTTTTAATGGCTGTTGTATAAAATGACAAAAGGCTGCTCCTGGGCGATACGTTAATTTGTATGGTTTTGATGTATATTTGAAAATTCTCATTAAGCTATCTGCTTTTAATAGTGCTGATATTGTTATTTTAGGGGACTGTCACCCTCACTATGCTCATTATGTTTGGGTTTCCTCTTGAAAACAAAAAAAAATTTAGTTCTAATTTTTTAATTACATTATTTCTTTTCAAATGGTCTCTAGTAAATGTTATCTTTTGGGACAGACTACATACCTGATTTTCAGTAGCTAAATGTATTTTCCTTAAACAGAGAAGCCTCAATTAAGGTCTATGTTTACAATTAGATATCACATTTAGTATCTAGCAAACTAAAGGTACCTTCAAAAATGGGTTGTGATGTAGGATTAAGCTGTTGTATGTCAGATCTCCTACTTGTGGAATTTCCTTTAAACAGTCTTTTTTATAACTGTACAGTTATAAATTAGTGGACCAGCCTTTTTTGACAAGGAGGGGGATGAGGACTTAGTGCTATGGAAGTCACCCTGTAGGCTTTCATATTTCATTCTACTTTTTCATAGCCTTTTAACACAGTCTGAAATGTTCCCTAGATGTACTGGATTTTGTTGTTTACCAATTTTCATTTGCAATGTATTTTGTCTCAAAATGAATAACAGTTAATTTCTGATTACCTCAGTGAAGGTGGGCCCATTAATTTGTTGGTGCCTTCTAATTTGTAGAACCTAATAGAAGAATTATCGTTTACAGTCATTATTATCCTGATCATCACTTTCATGGGTCCTTTTTCTGCTTAACTGCAACTTTAAAATACATGTATAACTACTCAGTTTGGTTTTGACTATCATAAGATGATTTTGGCCTTTGTCCTTTGCCTTGAAGAGTTAAGCAATTGTTGCAAGTATTTTGTTCTGAACTCTGACAAGTGGAGCAACATCTTACATCATCACAGTTTGACTCACTGTACTGTTTGATCTGAAGGAGTCACCTCATCTTTTTTATCACTTGGCAACAGTTACAATCAAAGAGGCAATCTATACAAAGAAAAATTCTGCCTGATCCATTTTTCTCTCCCCTTCAAATGCCATTTCATTTTGCTGGGTGTCCATAGTCCAATCCTGCCATCCCCTCTGTCAACTAAAAAAAATTGTTTGCAACACATCTATTGAGAGAAATGTATCCAATATATCAAGAATTTATTGAATGTATTTAAGAAAGGATAATTATATGAAAGTACTCAGGTTCTCAGCTACTGTTGTGTCTCAAGATCAGTCAATAAATATGAAAATTGATTCATGATTCAGAACTTTGCATGTTGTAATTTAACCAGGATGGGGGTTTAAGTAAGAGTGAGAGTGAAGAAATAATATGATTTGAGCAAAGTGATTCTGCCAAATTTACCACCACATAAGGATTTTCTGTTCTCCCTAAATGAAAAGCTGTGTTAGGTGTCCTGCCCAACAAGGTACCAGGTGTTTGGGGATCTTTAAAGGTAACTTTCTGGACTGGAAAGCTTGAACAGGTTGGGAATTTGATGTTACCTGGTACACATATTCAGCACTAATAATATACAAGAAAAACTTGCACACTTCTGAGTGGCTGAAAATGGGTGCATTTTTCATGTAACACAAGTGCAAATTACAAATAGTGTACATACTGTCAGATTTTGTCTGTCTTGACTTTCTGGGATGCTATTTTCCAAGTAAATAATAAGTTTTAACATGCTTTTAGCGCAATTTGATGAAAATAAGCAATTTAAAATGTTTCAAAGTGTACAAATTGCACTTGCCCCACAGGTTCATGCAATTTTGTTGTCTTTGAGAAATTTATTTGTGCCTATCAACCCCAAATTGCACTTGAGATAATGTTATTACCTTCACTAACACTACTGCCCAGATATCTAACTCATCAAAGTATTGCAGAAGAGTGGCTCCCCTCACTTTAAATGCCACGGACAGGGCCAGAACTTCTTAAATTTTGAGGAAAATTTGGTAATTTATCAAATAAATATTTTGTTGTCATACAATAGTGAAGTGCCAATTCTAGTACATCTATTAATTCAAGGCTACAATATCCCCACTCCCACACGCAGCATTTCAACTCTTGAAGCATGGTTTGTTCAAATTCCTCCCCCCCTCCATGCTGAAGTTCCAAATGAGAGATTTAATCATCCTTTTTTTGTTGTCAATGCTAGTGGAATGCTAGTCCATTTGCCAGAGGCACTGTAGGAGTAATGCCCAAGAACACAAGACACTGACGCCACCAGGTCTTGGACCAGAACCTCTCAACCCAGAGTCAAGTGCACTGACCATTAGGCCAATGTATAGTATATTCCCCTGCAACTGTGGTTCACAGTTGGGGACAAAGTATGGGACAAAGCCAGAGAAAAATACAGAATGAAATTATAGTATATGTACCAGTTTCTTTCATTAAGGGGCTGGGGGCCTGTTTCTCAAAGGTCCTGTTAACTTAATGGGCCCATAACACTGTTCTGTTTTCATTCATGATGGGAGTTGCAAAAGTATTTAAAACTATGCAATTAAATTGTGAGCAAAAGAAAAAATTTAGACTTGTTTGGGACCGTCAGAACCTGCTTCTTAATTCTTTAAATTTTGGATTTTTGGGGGCCCATTGGGTGACCAAGACAAATTTATATAAAATATTTCTTTATTGTTATTTAATGGAAATAATAGCTTGATTGTATTTGTTTCACTGATTTTTATTGTTACTTTACATCATTCAGTGATCATGATTTCAATCTAATCTGGTGAATGAGCAGGAGCAAGAAAGTCCAATGTTGTGACAACTACCAGGACGTTGGCCACCATGTATGCCACAATATGGTCAATAGCACATAGACTAAAATTGGTCATTTTGCATCCCTTATTATTACTTTCAATTCTTTGTACTTTCTTCACAGTGAATTGATAGTAAGTTGCAGTAACAATCAACTTTCTGAGGTTCAATGCAGTCCTGTAAATGCTCAATACAGTATACAGTATATGCATGACAGTTACTGAACCAAAATCTTTTTAACCAACAGATACATTATTGTCTCTTGACAGCTGTGTTGATGCAGGAGGATTATGCAGCTCTTGTGTTTTCTCCGCATGTTTATTAGTGACTACTATCCTGTATTTAGTACACATGTTCAAAAGATGAGACAGAAGTCTTCTTGTTTGGTGTTTGATCACTCACTCCTTTCAGTTGTCATGTCACTGCTGAGAAACTGCTTTGTAAGCTCATACACACTGAACATGACTGCCACCTGTGGTATGACCCGCAAGTAGTTGATTGACAAGCCACGATACAAGCCTTTTCTCACACCATCTTCCAAGTAGACTGTTACAAAGGTGTTAATGCAACCACTACACACAAAAAAAAAATTCAGATTCTTTCAGGTGTTATTGCAACCACTACACAAAAAAATTCAGATTCTTTCAACAACTTCAGAACATGAAATGTTTTAACTTAAAATATTATTATCTAATATTAAACTTACAAGTTATAGAATAGTTTCCTTTAAAATGATTAAAGTATTTTTTTGATAAATTAACCCCAAAGATATCATTTCAAAGCCAATAATTTCAATGATGTAAAACTGCCTAATGCATACTTCCTCACAATATAGTTGTCCATTACCTGTATTTGTAGCCATCAGACACTGCCCCTGCAAGCTGCATTCGCCGTCTAACAACATCTAGAGGATATCTGCAAACAACATATGGGAATTAATTCATGGCAAAAGTAAGAGAGATAAGACAACCATGAAAACTGATGACAATTTCTACTAAGTTCATATAATCATAGAATAATTATAAATAATTACTTTAATGTAATGTTTTACTGTTAATTTAAATTGGTTTCTGTGTGTGCCATAACAATACTTAGTAATAAATAAATATGATTGTAAAAGAAAAATTTGGTTCAAACTTACGCCACTGTCTGTGAAGAGGCACCAGCCACTGCACCACACAACAGCCCCCCAATTGGTGTTAGAACTTCTTGACCCTCTCTGTTTTTCTTTGTCAAAGGGCCACTCATTGAAAGTATGAAGTCTTTGATACTCTCATAGGTGAAGAACCCAAATCCTGTAAATAGTTAAGAAAAAAACTTGTTTTAAACAAGTAAAGTTTACAGTTTTGAATTAAATTCAAAATGATGCATAATTTGTACCTGCTGAGTTAGTCAGAGCCTTTTTTGAATAAAGGGAACAGCACAAAGAATGCACCAAAAAGCCTCCAACTACATGTCAGAAAAGCAATCACAAATGATTTGCCAAGGGGTTGCTCACAGTTGAATCATAAGTTTGTGGAAAATCCTCGTTAACACTTTAGATCTAACTTACAGAATTTCTGTCAGTGACAAATTTACCAGTTTTCAGAGGATTACCAAAAACTTATGCTAAAGGTAGAGAATGCCACATACCCAAAAACTTTGTTTCTGTCTAATTCCACCTATTTTGATGTTATTATTTCTTTTCAATCATTGACCAATTGAGATAAATTACAAATCACAGTTCAGTTTGTAAGAGCAGTCTGTGTTGGAAAACTGGATACTGTCATCATGTCCATTACTTTTGAAACTTTAATTCCCAAATAATTCAATGTAACACAACAAATTGGCAGTAGAAGCTATACAACAAGTTTCAGGTTTAAAAGAAATTTCCATGGCATCCACAGAAAGAGTAAGGCATTTTTTTAAAGGAAATTTCTACTACAGTCAAACCTCCCTTGACAACCACCCCTTGTTAGTGACCACTCTTTCAAAATACCAAATTAAAGTTTCTCAGTCAACTCACCATAAATGGAACCTCTAAGTTACTACCTCTCAAAATTTTTTACAATTTCAATTGTTTTTAACTTCCCATAGGTGACCACTTAACAGACAGTCTGCTTTATTGCACAAGAGCAGAAAGTGGAAATTTTTTCAACAGATGAGGTTGCTACCAGAAGTATTTAACAAAAAAATACAAAACAGTCACCATAGATTCTAAATTTTTTCCTTGACAAAGTATTTAAAAGTTCTTACTAAAGGTTTGATTAGACCTGTCACCATGTTCAAATTACCCAGAATATGAACCACCTATAGCCTGACCTTAGGTAAGCCACCACCTTCCATAAGTGACCACCTAGTATTTACCTTGTGGATGGTCGCTTACAGGAGGTTAACTGACTGTAGTAATACTTCAAAAACGGAGCAACACATTGGTTTGAAGTTTTTTGGGACCACCATCTTGACTTACCAACAGCTGGAATCATTGAAAGTGCTGTAGCAGCATAACCTCTGTAAAGACCTGCAAATCCTCCCTCTGTAGTAATAATCTGGCGAATTACATGACATATTCCACAGTAGATTTGCTCATCAGCCACTTGAAATGCCAGGCGTGAACGTACAACGTCCAAGGGATATGTCAGTGAACAAGCCGTAATTCCTGGTGAGAGGAGTAAAAATGAAATTAATAACTAATAATAAAACAATCTTCACCATCAATATGAATTTTACTCAACCTCAAATAGCATGATAAGTAATTGAAAGAAATTAGAAAATAACAAGTTCAGTAATGTTTGCCTTTTAGTTTTTTTCATTTCTGTGTCAAAATGATGAACCAGGGATACAAGAACACCTAGAATTAAGCTTGAATGTTTTTCAGGTTTAATTCTATACTGATTCAGGGCTGGGTTCATAGAAGTTAACATTCCAAGGTACCTATGAGTTCCCCCAAATATTTCAACTTCTTTTTGATTATGCACATCTGAGGCAGAAGTCCTTATTCAATGAAAAACTGTCTTGACTCAGAGTATAAAACTGATTTCTTGCACTCAACCGCCATGTTGCATCTAAAGAGATCTCATTCTCTCTTTATTTTGGAGGACATATATTGTTCCCCTGATTCTGTCCAACTTTTCTTAATTTTCCCATGATAAATGGGTTTTGCTTTTTCAAAATTTTTTAATTGAGCCATGTTACATATATTGTGTGGAATACATAGTGTATGATGTGCACTGAGTCATGTGCATGACCATGAAGTTGAAAGTTAACAAGGTCAATTTTTTTAGTAGTCTGAGCATCAGTTGTGGTTATCCTCAGGGTTTTGAATTGTCTTTAAATGGACAATAAAAGACTTTGAGATGTTTTCTAAAGTTTGTGACAATTCTGTAACATTGAGAGAGGTCTTAGAGCCCTTAGCAACAATTTAGAATGCAGGGATTCTTGTCTGTGGTGACATTGAAACAGACAAACTTATAAGCTGTTTCCACCAAAGTAAAATAGGTAAAAAACTTAGTTAAATTAATAGGTTTGTTGGTTTTTTTTCCTCCATTATTTTGTGGTGGCTACAATAATAGTGTATTGCCTTGCCACGTTATTTGATAAAAAAGGGAAAAATTTAAGTTGACTCAAACTTAACTAGTGACTTGAAGTTGACTCATGATATGTTATAACATTACTCAATTTGTTAGCAGTACTGAAAACCCGGGGACCTACAGGAATGTGTAACTTTCTTAAGATTAAGTAATTAATAAACAAATTGCATAATATTTAAATACATGTTGTTGCTTATTCATACTTCATACCTGCAAAAGATCCAGAGAGCAGTTTACTCAAAGCCCCATTAAAATACAAGGAGTTTAAGACCTGTGGGGAGAAATGGATAGTAGGCATTTCAAATTCATCACAAAGTATCCTATAGGCCAACACAGTGATTAACATGTAACTTCTCCATATAACATCCATACATTATCCAGAAGACAGGTAATAAGAATACTCAAACTCATCAGCTAAAAGTTGTTATCTTGACCCAACACCAAATTTCTCATAACTAATTTACAAGGAAATGTGTAGTGGCTGAAGGGGAGAATTAATGATCAGATCTTGGGAGTTTAAGGGTTAAATTAAGTGACTATGTACTGACCTTCTTATACTGCTCATATGATACAAACTGAACGGCACCATATGGAAAAACCCGCAACATAAGAGCACCATTCCCTGGTTGGAAAAAGATTCTAAATTGTGAGTATTAACAGCATTGAATTTCTTTACCTCTCCTGAGGCAATTTAATTTCTACTAACAAAAATAAACACTGGTACCCTGTGACTGAGTCAAGTATGTAATAAATTTGAATATGTAACTCCATGGAGTTGATTGCATTGGTTCCTTTGTTCATGAATCTAAATTTTTAACTCTGAGGGAGAAAGGAAAGTTAAAGAAGCAAACAAATGTAAGGTGGGTCTATGTTTTCATTTTCAATTTTTTACAAATACCCAGGGATCCTAGGGAGATTTACAGGCCTAGTCTTCATCCAATTAAACTTTACAACCAGACTAAGAGTACCCAAGGACATAGAACTCTTATGTTGTAACTTACAAGCAAAACAATTCTTTATAAAATAATAGCATACCTCTGTAATAACCCAAAGGTCCTTCTTTATGGTAAATGGTTTTTAGAGCCCTAAATACACCTGAAAAAAAAGGTGAACGTGAATTATCTTTCAGTACAATTTACTGCCCATAGGAATATATAAACCATTTTGGTTTCATTAAAAGTAAAAACACATTGGAGAACTTCACACACAATCACTGCACTAACTTCACCTCACATCCCATCTATTTCCATAATTATCTTGTAACTAATATTATGACTACATGAAGATCCAAAAAGTTCTGCAGATTTTAAAAAAGATTTCTCTTCATACATTTGTTAGAAAGCTAACTTACCCATGTTCTTGTAGTGTTGATTCTGAGCCTGGAAGAGAATTTTCAGTCTTTCCAATGGAGCTGTAGATGTCTTTGCACAACATGTTGACAATCCTATACATAAACACCACAAGAAGTTAACAAGACATATCTAAATGTATTTCTCTTGAGTTCTGACTGATTCCTCACAAATCATTGCTTTTGTAGCAATGATTAGCATTATATGTAGGCCACCTATCCATAAATCTATCTGCTGTTCTCCCACATACAGATAAAATCTCCCCATCTCTGGCAAGGGATTAAAAACCTCTTGCCTTTCCCCCCACATAGCATTTTGGTTTGCAACATATCTTTCTCAGCATCTTCCTACACAATAAAGTGACTAAAATGGACACACACAAAAATCCACCATAAACAGAAACCTCCACTTTATTTATGAGGATAAATTGTGATGGATTTCCCTTCTACCACAGAGACATATCCAAAATAATGTTGTCATCAGTTAGCAAATGGCAAAGGAGGCCAGGAGAATTTCATTAGGTATCTGGAGACTCCCAGAATACTCATATCTGGTTCACAAATAAACCTGAATTATACAGTCACACACTTTGACTGGTTTTCACCCAGGATCTGTTGGAGGACAGACACTTAGATGATGTCACCATTAAGAACATATTTTTTGTTTATTATGTAAGACACATAGATTCTATGTTGCCATGGGTCTGCTCAGTTCAAGACATCAAAATGTGGTAAGAACATCAATAACACACTTCACTGCACCTCTTGTGCCAACTTTTTTGTTTTCACCACAATTTTACATCATCTGTGTACTCTATTATAGAACAAATTCCTAACAGCATGGAATCTATTTATGATGACATCATCTATGAGTCTGTCCTCAAATAGATATAAGTGAGAACCAATAAAACTTATGAATAATTAACCTTATTATGTATTAATTGTTTATGGTTAATGGCATGTGTGCAACTAGTTGATGATACTAATTAACCTGGGCCCATAAAAATCAACAGGGAGCTCAAGCTAGACCACTACTTTAATTTCTTTATTTTTCCAGTGACCTACATATAATTAGTGTTCACTTGGAAAAGTTTTGGTACAACTGCAATGACATTTTTCAAAAAATCAATAATTTGTAGAGTTATACGCATTGAATAGAAATAAATTCTTGAAAGACCACTCAGCTTCCACAACGCTGTTTGTCCTTAAACGAGCTCACTCATTCAGCTCTATAGAGCCTGTTCCAGGACAGGAGTTAGTTGGTATTCAACAGTGCAAGCCACCAACAGAACAACTGACCTTGGACAGGCCAATGGTTAATTCACAAAAAACTAAGTTCCGGCTTTCGAGTGTGCAGGTAATTTAGTAATTATCAACTGAGTTGATAACATAAATTGGCCACCAGAGTTTAAAAGTTGACATTTCAAGTGTCAGCCCTTCATCAGAGTGACTGGAGACATAATGGGTTGTGTGTGTGTTTATATGCGGAAAAAGGAGCTAAGCTATTGGTGGGAATATGGTGACAGGAAAACAATAATAAATTAGATTAATGAAAAGCACTTGTTGATACTGTGGGGATTAAGTGTGCCAATTTGAAACTTTAAGATAAACTTTTGCTCTGAGTTTTGCAGCTTCCGGAACTGCCTAGATGTAGGGAAAGGCCCCAAACTGCCATATCCTGCTAAGAATGGTTAGGGAGATTGAAGTGTCTTGTGAATAGTTTGGATGCATCCTTGTCATTTCTTTCTATGTCACAAAGGTGTTCTCGGAATCGATCACCAAGTTGTCTTCCTGTTTCACCAATGTAAAACTTTTTGCAATAAACACAAGTTATACAGTAAATGACACTGGCCGAGGAGCATCTGAAATGAACAGTGATCTTGATGGACCTCTGAGGTTCCGGCATTTTCTCTAGATTGTGAATGAAAGTATTCACTAAAAAATTGGTGTTCAATAAAACCTACAAATAGATTGGCGTAACTGGATCCCATTTTGGTCCCCATGGCTACGCCATTAGTTTGTTTAAAGTAGTTGCCACCAAATGAAGAGCAATTGATGATTAGGACTAGTTCGGCTGGACGGAGTAATATTTCAGAGCCAGGTTCCTAAACAGAGCGTTGATCAAAAAAAAGTTTAAGGACCCCGAGACCTTCGTCATTGGGAATGACAGTATGAAGAGATGTAATATCCATAGTGTAAAGAAGTTTGTTTTGGCCAGAAAGGTTGCGAAAAATTTCAAGTGCGTGTTGGCTGTCCTTAATGTATGATGGTAAGGTTTTGACGTTAGGTGCCATAATTTTGTCTAAATAGCTGGAAATAAGCTCGGTGGGACAACTACAGGCAGAGAATATGGGTCGACCTAGGTTGTTAGGTTTGTGAATTTCAGGTAAAAAGTAAATACAGGGAGTTCTAGGAGTTGTGATGGTGAGAATTTTTGCAGTGGCCGGCAATTCTTGTCTAGCTATAAGATCGTTAGTCGTGTTTTTGACGCTCTTTGGTTGATGAAAGTGAGATCTTTGTCAACTTTGGCATTATAAGAGCGTCAGAAAGTTGCCATAAAACTTCTTTTTGGTAGAGGTCCGCCCGCCAAACAACGACTGTACCGCCTTTCTCGGCCGCTTTTCGAATATTTGTTTTGATTAACTATTGGATTTGAATACTGTTTTCATTGAATATTGGATTTGCTGAGACAAAAGGGAACGCCTCTTCCGTTGAAAATCAAGTTAAAGTACGTTGACCAACAGATTTAAAATTACTCAACACAGGCTCGACTGATAATTCATTTAAGTTGTGGAACAGCTTACATTGTAGCTACACAACGCAAAGAATCTATTGTGATCCATGATACTAAATCAAAACAGCGACAGAAATAATGCCACGCACAACTAACCTCCAGCCACAAATGTAAGGAGTACATGGTCAGCCTTCGCCTCCATTTTCCTCTCAGAAAAACCCCAAAGTAAAACATGGACCAAGCCTAACAGAGATGATTTCGGCTGGGGTGATCAGTCCACGCCAAAAGTAAGGGAAATTCTACGTTTGTGTGTAACTTTATTTCCCGTTCTTCACTCCGGAATATATGTGCGTTCCACACTTGTAAACGAGATCCACTATCTGGGCTCTAATGCTATATTGTCGGTTATGTACAAAATCCACTATCTGAACACACTAGCACTTTGTTGTCGGATGTGTCATTGCTCCAAGGGCACGACACGCACTTACTCTTCTGACGCTGAATCTACCTGCATTGTCGCACGACCAGCAACATCGTTATGAATCCATATCATGTTTAACACGTGAAAGCAACAGGGGGCGGTTAAAATGTTTTGGCATTTTCGTCACGTACACATTTTGCCCATCACAGTTCCTCGACTTTTTGTGGCGAAAAGAAAACGCACTAGATGAAAGCAGAGGTGTCTGAAAAAAACCTTTTATTTTCTCTGAAGAAAAAATTGTAACAAAAGTGTTCTGTAAGGGTTCTTTTGTATGACAACTAGTTGCGTGACGGGGAAACAAAGTGTGATGCGTGATTGACTAGTTAAAAACGACAACAACAACAATCGGCAGGATCATTTACCATTTTGGTTTCTGAGATTGGTAAATATTGTTTGATTTCATTTGTGAGACTGGGACCAGAGACATCCAAAACAGTAACGATAGTCGTGAAAATATTTTCATGTCCATTCTCCGTTGTTCGATCAGGTGCTGGGGGCATAGTGACCTTTCAGCTTCATGCACCAAACCCAACAATACAACAACTCTTATGTCATCTCTCCTGGCTTCAAACAGGAGCCCATCACTAATTACTAGTATAAGTAACGAACTCCTGCTTCACATGAGTCTTCTTGAAACTGGACGTATTTCCTGGTCTCTCCAACGGTTTGTTAAATAGATCTACCGCATAGAAGCTAATATTAATTTGGAATCTTGTCCTGTTAAAAGAAGGGCAAGATAAATCTGACCAATTTCACCTATATCTAACTTTCCTAATTTTTTATGTTAAAGGATGGTTGTACTTTTGAGAACTTTTCTTCGTCCTCTGCTTTTTTTTTTCCTTTGGGCGGGAGCGGGGAGGTACATCCATTTCGTGGATGAAGAGACTGGGACAAAGCGGTCTACAAGCATTTAGGGCGGTGGAAGGTGTTGGAAAATGGTGAATCTGAAACGGTTAAACCTTGAGAAAAATTCAGCACCATAAAAGCTGGGTCCTCCCTCAGTTTTGTTACCCTAGTAAGTGGACAGCTTTGTAGAATCCTACTTAAGGCTTAAGAGAGAGTGCTCGCCTAAAGGGAAAGAGACATGTTAGATTCATACAGCCGCACGATCTCATTGAATTTAACGGAGCACTTGATATTAATAAGTTGGACAGTAATCGGCAGATAACACCTGACTAATTTAATATTTAACCGTTAAGTGACAGGAAAAGCGCAACAAAATAAAAGTAATTTGATTGTAACTCTTAGTTCAAAGTCATCATCAAAGGCGAAACAGCTGAGAGATGAGATGAGAGTACTTAACTGTTTTTGTTTACGAAGTCTGCCCATTTTCACCACCGACATAAGGTATTTCATCACAGGTTATGTTACCATAGATGATGTAGCCAAAACTGTAGACGTGAAGCGAACTAGTGGCGGGGATAGGGGGTACCCTTTTCTACTTAGTGTTGATTTTAATTCCTCTAAAACGACGGGCAGGTATGAAATAATGACAAACAAGATGTCTGTTTCTTGGTCATACTCCTGTATGGACGCTGGTGAACCTATTTCGATGACTTCGTCCCTAGTTAGTAACACTTATGGGCAGATATGATCTTTTAAATAAACCAGAAGTTTAATCAGAACTGCAACTGACTCCATGGAGTATTGACGGTGCACAGTGAAGCCGAACAGAAATTGCAAACACTGAATAGCTCACGAATAAATAGACCTGAAGCAGTAGCTGCTATTAAATGCATAAAGTAATTTCTCTTTTTGTTAATTTCAGGATCGGAAAATTCGTTATTTTTATGAATAAGAAGTCTCTGTGGCCTCTCTTTATTAACACTGTTAGGGTCTTTCAGGTTCCTAAATCGGTCTTGTGTTACTATTGAGCGAAGCTGTGTTTTTCAATCTTCGGTAATTGGAAAATGACGACGAGACTTTCTCCCTAAAAGCACTTGTCAGATTTACAAACACACTCTTTCACTCTCCCTTAGTCGACGTCCTCAAAAGATGAAGAATCACTTTCACTCAGGAGCACTCTCTCTCTCAAAAAGACTTCGCGCTATGAAACCAAGATTTTACATACATATATTTATTAGAATAGAACCTCAGCATTAGTTTTATCAAAGCTATAACAGAGTACATTAATCAAAACGTAAGTGAAATTATGATGATTTCTTTCACTTGTAGCTTCAGCTACACTCACTGAGAAAAAGAAACCATGGGCAAATTCCAAAAAAAATACTCATCGTTGAAAAGGCGCTGCATATCAAACGCGGTATTTAAGTAAAAATAACGACAATTCCTATCAATCTGAATTCGAAATCTGCAAGTTGCTATAGTTTAATTGTAATATGAAGTGTTAATGTGTACTACAAAGAAAATAAAAAATAAGAGTGCTTGAAGATCAACTGGATTTCAAAAGTCTCAGGCAAACATTTTCCTCAATGTTTCCATTCAATAGTTGGGAGGTGATTTCATCCGCATGTTATGCCAACAGCTATATACATGTATACCGAAATATTTTAAGCGTCCAGAGACGTATGAATTTAAAAGAAATGTAAATACATAGCGAAGATTAAGTCAATGATCTTTGGTTAAACATTGAAAAAAGCAAGTAAATTCCGAAGGAAAATCAAGTCCAAAATTTCCTATGGGTTTAATGGTGCAATAAACGTTAGGCCTTTGACCAACCAGGGCACTCATGATATCTCTCTCATTTTATAGAGGGTGATATGTCAAATACATATCAAAATCGAAGCCAGTTTCTTCATTTTTTTTTTCCAAAACAGTCCAATGTGTCTCTCACAAAAGTACTAAGTTGAGGCACTATCACATTCTTTTACGGAAATAAAAAACAAAACAAACAACAATCCGAAAGAATGTGCCTCATCTCTGACATGTTTGTGGTGGTAGTGCCCAACAAGTATCTTAAAGAACGGGTTTGAATCGCCTCGAATCCTGAATTTTTTCCGGCTTTTTTTTTTCAATTTTCTAAACTGCAGCTAACCTAGGAGGATCTCTTACCTGTGCATCACTTGCAGGTCAAGTATCATTTAAATGCGATGATCAAGAAATGATCCTTTCAAGAAAGGTAATTTCTTGAAAACTAAATTCCAACCAATAAAGAAACTTTCAAAACCAGTTGCAAGAACGAGTTCATGAACAGAAATTCAGTAACTTTGACGTTCTTTCTCTATGAATACGGAAATTAACAGGTCTGTTTTGCCTACAGCCTGACACTTGCTCTGGCGAAGGTTACCACTCGAAATCTTAGCTTTAAAATTGCAGAAACGGTGGCCAATGCATTTTCAACTCAGTTGATAAAACTGAATTATCTTGTTATACCCCACCGACGCAGCATCACAATTTCTTTAGAAACTTACCCCTTAATAGTTAATTATAGTTTTTTACTACCACAAATATCCTGCATATATAATCCTTCAGTTTCATACATCCCCCTCAGCCAGTGGTTTCCTGACGTTCTTCTGCTGTTTTTTCTAGTAAACGCTTTTCTACTTTCGCGACAAACTGAATAACATCTGCAGCAAATAACTCAGGTTCTTCAAAGGCAGCAAAGTGTCCACCGCGAGGCATTTCTGTGAACTGAACAATGTCTGTAAATTTGTTGTGAATCCAAGGTTCTGGAGTCCGAAAAAGTTCATGGGGAAAATCAGCCATTGCAGAAGGAACTGTAACGGGGATACTGCCAAGACAACAAAACTAAAAATTAAAAAAGCTATATATTCAAATAATATGACTCCTTAACATTAAAACACATAAATTACAATTAGCTGTCAAATAAATGCACAGAATTTTAGGCCAAAAATGTAAAATTAATACTACCAAGTTACTTGGAAATAAAAACTCAAGGACAATTGCCTATTCTGTGTTGAATTTCAGAAAGCCTTGGGGAAGGCCTCCATCCATCAACAATTGCTCTAAATTCATTTGAGGTTATCACTTGAATTCTTCATTCGTTTATGAAATTCATCAGTTCCATAAGTTTTTAACAAAAACTAAAGAAGACGGACATTTTTCCATGAATCAAATTAAATTAAAGTAGCATACTTCCTTAAATAAATACCCGCACACTTGTTTGAGATTTTCACTAACAGGAGGGGAGCTCATTGGAAAGAAGGTGCATAATCAAGGTGGGTGCTTATTCAGCTACCACAGCAAAAGGAAAAAAATTAAAAGAACAGAGAACACACATAAACAACTCTGCAAGCACATAGAGAATGAAATAACTGAAACAAAAAAACTCTTCTCCTGAATTAAATCTGCTGTTATGAAGCTAAAAGAAGTTGTGAATAAAGTGGCAATAGAAACAGGTTTTCCTTGTATCCCTACTATTTTAAGAGAGTGATGAAAAAGAAGGGGAGTGTTTGTTTGACATTATGGTCTAGAGGGCAGGGGGCTATTTGGGAGAGGGCACTTATTAGGACACAAGTGCTTACCCAAGGAAATACAGTATAAAGGTCAGGATATTTCTCACTTTGGGAACTATTGTAAGCTTGCCTCAGTCCAGACTTATTTCACAGGGATAATTTTGAACAATCTTAAGTCTATGAGTATCTCTTTTACCGTGATGCAGAGCGCAATTCATCATCACTATGCATCACTTCATAATACAGCCTCATTGATGAAGCAATAGAGTGAGTGGCCCAATATATCATCACATTTGTCAGCATTTCATCCTTTGTAAAGCACGATTCCAAACAGATTGCTGTGTCATTGGTTGCACAGCCACTCCACATTGCAAACTTTTCCACAAGGTAAGCTGCCAGGCCAGCAGGTGAATCATTATTTGCCAACGCAACAGTGTTAGGTCGAGTTGCTGAAACAAGATATTCAAAAAAACTTAACAACAAATATTTTCAATTAATCAGGTTTTATAAAACTAATAATATGAGTTTATAACAAGTCCCAAAATGGTCCCTAATGTTGCTTAGTTTTCTGTGATCCAATCTAAAAGAAAAATCAGGAAAATTTCTGCAAAACATAATCCACAAAAATGGAAATAAATTTCAATTTCAAATGAAAAATTATGGAAAGGTAATAGAAAATGCATGTACCTTGTAGGTGAAAATATCCTCCCTCACGCAGAATTTTAATCACCAACTTTGACAATGGGAAAATCTTTTGCTGCTCCTTTTCTGGAAAGAAGACTTTTGCCTGAATATAGGACAAGGGGTTTTTTTCAAACACTGGGAACATGTTTAAATGAAGTCCTCGAATGTGACTAGAAAATATAAAGATAGAACAAACAATCTCATAAGTAGGCATATTAAGATCAAGGTTCTATGTAAGATACCTGCTCCTTAAAAAACTTGTTAAACCTTGCCACTCTCTGTGTTGGCTGGGTAATCACTAGGTTCATATCTGACACACCTGCACAATGTTAGAACTGGTAATGTGGAAAGTGGCATGTGTGATTAGAATAAAAAGGAAGGAAGACCTTTTTCCTTCCTTATCCCTCTACACATTAGTTTCAATCGTCATCTCTTGTTTCTGAATACGAAACTCTTCAATTTCCAACCCAATAGACTCAAGTTCAGAACTTTACCGTTACTTTTTAAGATAAATAACACCTCTATGGTTTACAGGTAAATTGACTGATAACACCCTTAGTTGAGAAGAAAACAAATTTTTTGGACAATCTCTCACCTTCATTTATCAGCCACCTGAAGGGGTTTAAATATTTAAAAAGATACAAGAAAAAATTACTTAGTTCTGATTGGTTAAGATAAATGCAGTCTTCAGGTAATTCAATATTGAAGAGGGTTAATTCAGTGCAAAGAAGTAACAAACCAGACTGAACAATTCCTGGAACTGTTTAGCCGGACTTTGAACTTTTTCGGCACCTTCAAGATGTGAAAATACCATTGTATATTATTGTTTTAATCATACACGGTTGTTTTGACCAAACACACAATGTCACTTACAGGGTTTGAATAAATTATTTTGGCACTTGATGCACATGCTTTCCTTCTGCATAATTATGATAAGCTATCTCATTTTTTTTCATGTATATCATTAATATGTAATCACACGATTTTTCTTGTGCAATTTGGAATAAATAAGCACTTGTAAACTTTTTCAAAGACCACAAATTGCACGAGCCCTATGGACTCATGCAATTTTGTTAGTCTTTGAAAAAATTTACATGTGCTTATTTATTCCATATTTCACACGAGATCATGTGATTACGTATACTAATAACATACATAAAAAAAATTGCGCTGTCTGATCGGCTGAAAATTAGTGCATTTTTTACGTAACACGAGTGCAAATTTCAAACAGGGTATGCACCTCATCAAAGTTTCGTTTGTTTTGACTATCTGTGACATTTTTTTCATGTTAAGTAACAACACGATCTCTCATGTAATTTTGAGTGAAGAGGCACTTGAAAATTTTTCGAATTCGCTAATCCTGTCGTTTCTTACCTAGGATCCATGAGTGCCATTGCACGTGTTATCGCACTTCCCCAATCTCCACCCTGAATGTAATAGGACTCATAACCAAGTCGTGCCATCAGCTTGCTAAATATCCGTCCTGCGGCAAACGCCTCAAAGCCTGGCTTATGAGGGGCTTCTGAAAAACCATAACCTGGAATCGATGGACAAATGATAGAAAATGCATAATCTTCTGTTGAAGATGCTACAATCTTTGGAATGACCTTGTAGAATTCATAAAACGACCCTGGCCAACCATGAACCAGCATAATTGGAACGATTTTCTGGCCCTCTCTCAATTCAGGTTGAAAATGCAGAAAGTGGATTTTTATTCCATTTATCTTTGTCTTGTAATGTTTGTATGTGTTGAGAATTTTCTCTTGCTTACGCCAATCGTACTTCGTCCTCCAATACTCGGTCAATTCTCTCATGTAGTCAGGATTTATACCGTATTCCCAATCGATACCGTCCAAGTTTTCAAAGAAACGAGTCTTGGATAATCTTTCGTTAAGATCCTTAAGAACTCCGTCTGTCAAGCTGATAGGGAATTCATACACGCTGGAATCCGGCTTGTTATTGTTCTTGTCTCCTTTGCCCCACCATTCTTCACGATCGAGGGGCGGGGGCTTAGAATCGTTAGCAAAATACTTACTCAAAATAATGGGAATTACCACCACTGAAATACTGACAATTGCTACGAAAACCGCACAATATGTCCTGCAACCCATTTATAACGCAGAAAAGAGACTTTGTATGGACCTCAAACCAATGTCACCATGCTGATCAAGCTAGACTGTAGACTACGCGGAGTCGAGTCCCTTCTGAGTAACTGAACTCAGTCCCAGACTTCTGGGCGGCGCATTAACGTCCACTTTTCTTTTGACGTGCGCGATCAACGTTTGGTAATAATTAATATCCTGAAATACTATTGAACGATCTGAAAGTACTGTAATCATGCAACACGATTGTACGAGCTCACTAGATACTTGATCGAGGAATAGAGACAGAATATAGAGAGAAATTGAAGAGTGAGTGTCTCCACTAAATGAATACACAACAGTTTGCTTGTCGTGGTATTTTTGTATGTCCTTTTATAAAATAATTCAAATAGTACGCGCGCTCTGATTGGCCATAAAACCATTTTACATGAGCGTATGTAAACATGGTTTTCGTTCCTCTTTCATTAGTTATTTTATAAAACAAATGTAAAATGGTTTCCGTGTTTACATAGCCTGATGTAAACACGCGGGAGGTTGAGAGAACACTCGATAACCTAGAAACCACTCCACTTCGCGTCGTGGTTTCCTACGCTTATCTCGTGTTCTCCCAACCTCCCGCGTGTTTACATCAGGCTATGTAAACACGGAAACCATTTTACATTTCTTCATTGGCATACGGTCATCAACGAGGTTTTCTGGAGCAGACGCCATGTATAAGGTGTGAGCATTGGTAGCACTAGATCCACCTATGTGGTAATAACAACGTTTGTGAACCTTGATGTCATGCCAGAAGGGTTATTTACACATGCTCATGAGGTACATCATGAGCAAGAGCTAATAGTTTTTGAAACCCACTTTGGTTGAGTACGAGTCTGTGGGGCAAGTGTTTTAACCCTTTAACTTCCATAATTTCTCCTTACAATATCTGTACAATATCAAACAGATAATTGATAAAAATAAACAAAAAATATCAATCATCAGACTGTCCGTTAAATTAACAAATTAACCTCAAATAAGAATTGTATGGCAGACAGTAAGGATAATTACTAATGAGATCTTGGGAGTGAAAGGGTTTAAAACAATAAAAATTGCTGTGCAGGGCAAAACCAAATTGAAATCTATTCATTTAATATTAAGGAAAACTGAATGAAAATTGTTCTTAGCTAATCAGATTTTCTCTTTATTAAGTTAAGTAAAACATAATCAAAAATTTATTGCAACTGACTGAGCTGGATCTAAAATCTTCAACTCTACCCTCACTTCTGTCAAGTGATACATATTTTGGTGTGGGAGCATAAAAAAAATAATCTTCACACATATATGGATGGACTTTTTCTTAAATCTGGATTGAAAATTTATATATATTAGATATGAAATATATTCAAATTATTTGTTCATACTTCGCAAACAATCTGTAAAATAAACATAATAAATAAATTGAAAATTCAAACTTTTTCCCCTAGTTTTTTCCTTTTCTACACCCAACCCTCCAACTCAACAAGTATGTATCTCTCAACTTAACATGTTTGAAATTCATAATCATATGGATGAAATATTGTGAGTTTTTGGAAAAGCTGATATGGTGCAACTTTCCAGTCAAACAGCAGCTGTGCTGTGATGATAATGATGATGATAACAACATCTTCTTACAGTCTGATCTTTTTTGTTTTTTCCCTCATGTAATGTTGAAAGGTACATACTAACAACTCAATTGACTCAACATGCCACACTATGAATCTAGCCTTCTATATATTTTACCTATTTTTGTATCATAGAAATGTCTTAGAAATAACAATTAAAAGCTAATAAAACAAATCCACATATTGGCCTCTGGGTTACTGGTCAAAAAACATTTTGAATAACATTCAATTTCCACTGGCTAGTGTTTAAACATGTTTGATGAATGGATTACTGATAAGATTTGCTGACAAATATTATAATATAGTCATGCTTAACTCATAGTTCGTATTCCCAAGGGATGCAAAATCTTGTTTTAAGTGTTTCATTTACTGTAGTAACTTAGGTAATTCAGAAAACATAATAGTTCCTTAGACTATGAACAACAAAATGAATGGGTAAAAGAATATTCTAAGCTCCATCATAAGTAAAATCCCCAATGCAAAATAATAATGAATGAAAACTGTGCCCAAATTAATATGATCTTAAAAAAATAGTTTTGCTGCTGTTTCAACCTTTTACATCCATAAGGATATGGTAGCCCTTCAAGGGCCAATTTTTTAAATTTTTTTTTGAGTCAAACTAAGCATCATTATTTTAACTAAAGTTTCCAAGAATTTGAAATTTTTTATAAAATACATCTTTTAATTTTCCCATATATTTTCTGAACATGACTCCTCTGTGTTTCTTTTATGGTCTTAGTCTCCACTTTCATTGCTACTGTGATAATTTTGTAGAATTGCTCACTAGCCTTTGCCCTAACCTAGCTAATTTATAATTTAAACATATTTAAAACACTTTGACTTGTCACTAGGAATTCTGGTTTTAAATAAGACAGAATCAGCCCTAAACTGTGATCTCAGCAGTGGCATGTAACCATACACCTTCACAAAGAAATTGATACATTTGCTGCGTTCCTCAAAGTGAGTTTTATCATTCCACAGTGACACAGGACAGTTTGGGCAGGAGAAAGTCCAACGTGAAGTCACCTAATAAGATACAACATTACTTTATAACTAAAAGCTATTGAGTGTTATAGCACAGCTACTGTTAACCTTTCTACCAGGACATTATTATTCATATTCTTCTCACTGTTATCTTATCATTTCTCACAATACTGACAAAGAGAATTTGTTTGACAATCACAAGTTTATTAAGTTTTCCATCATTTTCCTTATTCTCATGAGTTTCATGTTTGATTCAGCAGTGATGCTATAAGGAGATATTAGACCTAAATCACTCTTAGAAGATAAAGGGTTAGGACTGATATACATTACATAAAATGTCTGCCTGTTTATTTTGACACCTGAAAGTCAGCCTACAGCTACAAAATATCTTTTCCAAGAGAGGTCCACAATGACATAAAACCATAAATACATCAACCAAATGAGTCAGCTATGTTCCAATGGAAAAAGCAGGGTTGCTACTGTCCTAGTTGAGCAACTTGAAATTCTAATAAATCCCTCATCACAAACTCAACTCATCTGGTTACATACCTTTATGGGAGGTTTTCTTGTGATGTGAGAGACCAAGAAATTCATGGCAAGGTCCTCGCAATTCATGTATTCGTCAACTTTGTCTCTGATAATTTGTGGCATCCAATTTGTATATAAATAACCAAAATACTGAGAAGAAGAGAGAAATTGAATAAACATTTTCAAAATTGAGTGTTAAAAAATTATACTTCTCCTCTAGTTACTTTCTGCACACTTTTGGAGTAATTTTATAGTTACAATGGCCCAGCATTCTGGTAGGAGGTCAGCTCATATTCATCAGAGCTGCTCTGTGGATAATGTCCATCTACTTCAAGGTTGACCTTGTCTTCAAGCAAGGAAACACCAAGGGTCACAACAGAACACATGTGTCATAAATGACATCATTGGCTGGAGAAAACTAAAAAGGAAGCTGAGGGGTCTATGCAAAAAACTAATTATCAACAATAATAGTAAACCAAAATCTTTAGGACCCTTTTGATGTTATATTCAAATTGTACAGGTAGGGAGGATTGATGGGGCTCAATTTTGGGTTTTAACATTTTCATGTCAGTTTTAGAGAAGACTTGTGATAACATCTTCAAGATTACAATGTACCAAAATGTATGAAACATAGCCTCTCTTTGGCACTAAAACATACTTGCACATTTGTCTACAAACATTATCTGTTCTGAAAAGCAAACATTTTTTTTAAGAGCAAAATTCACAGAAAATTGTATGCTTAAAACAAAAGACAATGTTCAAGAAAAATTTACCAGCATATCCTCAAACTAATGGAGGGCTATTGTGTTTTTCATCTTTCAAATATATTTTGTATTTAGGAAAATATTTAATGTACAGACAGGTTTGTCTTTCCTTTGACACAACTACAAAATGCTTTTCCAACTTGATTGACCTTTATGAGGAAGACTTTTATCCCAACAGTAGGAATATATCTTGACTAAAAACTACCAAATATTCCACACTTTAATTGGGGGTAAATTTAGTCACCAGACACAATCAGACCAACTGCATGTAAGCAAAAATATTTGAAGGACTCTAAATACAATTAATTACATCAGGTCTTGGTGATCTATCATTCAAGAAGGCTGCTATATTTGGCTAATTCGAAAAAAAATTGACAACAACAACTTGTTTAACAAAGAAATGGGGAAATTTGACCTGATGCAGCCTTTTCCCTAGCTGGCAAATCCAATATTACTTGTCCAGAAGCATTTCCTCTTACTCACCTTGTGGTAGAAAGCTGCACCAGTGAGTATCATAGAAAGTTCACATGAATACTCTGAACTGTACAGCCACTGCTTGTTCTGAGCATCCCAAGCATGGAAACGTGCTGGGAATCCTACTATACGATCTCTTGCTTCCCTCCAAACTCTACAAAACAAGATTATTCACTTAATAATATAAAGTGAACTAACTTTTTCACACCCTGAGTGGCAGAGATGCTTAAGAGGTACCCTTCTGATAGTCAGTTTCATTGTTAGATGACAATCTGCATTATAACATGGCAACAGAAAGATGCTTGCTTACTGTCTCAAAAAATTCAGTTTAGAAAATTTTAGTTTGGAAACACTGAGCACTTCCATGATCTGTTAATAATAAATCTTTGGTCACCTGAATCCCAAGAGTATTTCATCAGGTCGCATTTCTACATCATCATCAATAGAAAAAATAGCATCTGTTTCTATAACATCATAAGGAATAAATCGATTGTTCAAACTGTTCTTTGCTACTTTAACAACCTGTTCAAAACATAAAAAAAGATAAGTACAGCTTATTAGTATATATGCACAAGCCTGCTATACTGAAATCTGATGCCTGTGGTACTATTCCCTAATAAGTGAGTGAGTATGCTGACATTCTGTGGTTGTCACCAAAATAAACTAAAATTATGAGACTGTCTTGTTGTTAATTTTTGGGTAATTGTGAAAA